AGTTAGGGTTAGAGGTGGTGACACCAGGATTGGCAGGGTTGGCAGCAGATACTGGGGCGGTGTTAGTGGTAGGTGTTGCGGTATCGATGTTGACGTTGGTGTTGGTGGTATGGGGTGGTGCAGCTAGTATGCTGTGAGGAATGCTTGCCCTGCGATCCGGGGTCATAGCATCTCGGTGGACGGTCGGATGACTATGTGGTGGAATTTGGGGAGAAGGGGGAGGAGCGAGGAGGGTGGAATGACGACGGGGACCATGTGCTGCTTCGGTGTCTCGGGCCATGCTCCTTTCGACCAAGTCGGCCCAGCGAACTGAATGCTCGTCTTTAGCACGGGTCAACCTGTTGGGATTCGAGCTTGCCGCCGCCACGTTGGGATGAGCAGGATGCGTACAAGGCTCCGCAGCGGAAGGGTAATGGATCGAACGGGGATCACGTCCGGTAGAAGCAGTCGATGAGTGATACGGAACTCGCTGTGACTGCTGCTCTGGATGAGCCATAGTCCGCTGTCTAGGAGGAGCGCATACACCGCTTGAGACCAAGGTGGCTTTGGATGATTCTCCGGCTCTCTTCCACACGAATTCCTCTTGGGAATTAGGCTCGATGATCCGCACCCTATAGGTGTCTCCGTTGTGCGAAACCATACCGAGGTTGTAGAGCCCCATGGTCTGCTCGACCGTCAGCTCCCGAGGTAGGCCGATGTCGATCCAGTCGGGGAGCTCGTCGACGGCAATCAAGGGTACCATGGGACCTTGTTCCCTTTGAATTGCTCCGGTGTCATTGCGCAAAATCTCAGTGTCAGGTCGGACAAGGAAGAATTCAGGGCGCGGTATCATGGCGGGCGAGTGAGGTTGATGTCTTGGTAGTTGGCGAGACAGGAGATGGGAGATAAAGGGCCCTGATTCACTCGGGTTGTGCGTGGGTTGTAGGAGGAGGAGGAATAAGGCTTCTTCGGGTTGACTTGTTCTGACTATAGACGTTGGCTCGAACTCAGAGCGAACGACCCATCTTTATAGAGCTGCGTCTAGTGTCCTGTAACGCTCTGACTAGCACTTTGTCGACACAAGTTTGTTGTGTTTATTTTGCCCGGCAATCTTCAGTAGGGAACTTGTCAAGCGTTGGAGCTTTGGGTGAACAAACAAACGGACAACATCCCAAACACAAGGGGAAAGTTGTCCAGAAGGACTGGAACAAGCGCTTGTGAGAAGCATATTTGGGCCGTAGGGGTGTGTCGACATGGTGGGTTTGCAGTTGAAACCGTAGATGCCGGTCGTCTACCAGAAAAGAACACAGTTGTTTCTTGTGATATCTTCACCGCAGTTCGACCCTAATCTTAGCCTCGAGACCATCCACACGGTAGCCAAGCTGGCGGGGGCCATCCTTCAGCTCAACCTCGCGCCTCACAAATCTTCCTCCTTTCTTGCCGGCTATAGATGTGCCTGCAATGGAGGTGGCGGCATCGTCCTGTTTGCGCTCTCTCTCTGCCTCTATCTCCTCGTCTTCACTGCTATCACAATCATCGTCATCGAACCCACCAACTGGGTCCCATTCACCAGTCTCCCACACCAGTCGCAGCTTCAGAGGCGGGAGACCAAACATTCTCCCGGCAATTCCCTTGACCGCGTAGATGTCAAAGGATTTGGGTATCTGGACGATCCTCTCTCCGACAGATGCGATGTTGTCTTCTGACTCACTGCTTGCCAACTCGGCGAGGTAAAAGTGGACAGTAATTAGCCTTGCCTCGAGGAAGTTCGGGTTAATGTCCTGCTGACGGGATACTACCGGCTCGCCGTAGAGCTCACATAGCTCGGCCCAGCGTCGATGGCGTGCAAGGACTTGGGCTTCCTCTGCCTCTGGGGTAGTTGACAATTGTCGAGCTATGCGAGAGAGGTAGTACATCTCTGCGTTGGTGCGGTCCGCGGTAGTGATGTTGCTGAAGTTGAGAGTCCGGACGGACGGGAGACGGGCAGCCATCAGCATGAATGCTTCATCACTGGTGGCAGTGCCCTTCTTTGTGCCGTCTGTTTCCGGAACGGCTCCATCCTCGAGTCCTGGGTTTTCGTAGATGGGATTGTGAGAGAATCGTACGGATGTCAACCCAGGGAATGAGTCCAAAAGAGCATCGATGAACTGCCAATCGCTGACCTTGTTGTATGACATATCAAGGTATTGAAGGTTCTTGCCGAAACGGGCACCTCCTTGGAGGAAGAGGACGTGATAGATGATATCAAGTTGCCTTTTAGATGCAGATTTCGAAGGGTGCTAATTCTCGTAAGAGCAGCAATGTCTTCAAGTGATGTGAGCTCGTTGAACTCTAGGTTCAGAGACACTAGTGTCGATGTGAAGGAAAATGCTGATGGGATGGGTGCAAGAGTAGACAACTGGTTTGTGCCGATTTCGAGAAGGGTCAGGGAAGGGAACTTGGAGGCGACGTGACATATTTCAGGCCAAGTCAGTAGGGTTTCTCCCATCTCAAGCTCCTTGACTCCCTTGAAGGCCTCATGATGTCCATTGAGCTTGTCGTCTTCGAGGACGTTTTGAAAGCGATTTCCGCTGTAATATTGTCAGTTTTGTCATCCTTTTGTTATGTATCGCAACAGACAGCGAAAGGGCACATACTTGACCCTTAGACTGTGCAAGGAGTCCAGCTCGGAGCAGATATCCACCACAGTACCGAAGTCGGTGAACAAGTTACGGCTGAGGTCCAGCTCGACGACCTTGGGACAAGTCTGGCGGATAGTCTGATCCTGATCTGTTGTGGGTGGAGATCCAGAGACGATGCATGACCCGTCAAGGATGACAATCTTCAGTTCGCTCAACTGTGCCTGCTTGCGGCGGATCTTGTCAAAGCCGACCTCCTCAGCAACCTTGCCACCGACCACGATCTGCTTCCCAGGGAGCACAGGTCCATTGTCGGAAGGGCCATCAGACGCATACTTGAGCTGAAGTGCAGAGAGAAACGTCTGGGGTGCATCTGCCGGTCTAGTTGGACGGATGAAAGATGCCGCTGTTGCTGACTTGGATTTGCCTGAGAGAGTGTTAGATGGCCATATCCCGGGATTCAAGAGTAGGATGGGTGATTCTCACATGTGAAATATCTGATGCCTTTGTGTTGGCCAGCGTGTTTGCCGCGTGTCGGGTCATCCCATTCAACTCCAAGCCATGAGCCAGTGGTGCCTTTGAGTTCACCAATAAATCGGACGGTAGCACAGGGCGCCGTCGTAGGACCTTCTCTGGCCGATGTGAGGGGTAACGGAAGCCATCATTTGACTATATTTCCAATGACCAACGATGGGAGAACGGAATTGTCCCAAGATAGTTTCGTGCACTTCGATTAACACCCCCAGCCAAATGCCGATTGTCGAAGATGGATTGGTGTTCGCAATTGCCGTTACCGACTTCAGTTGAGCGTGCTGCCCTGTACAACAAATTGGAAGGCACTCGCTGTGGAGGGGCTACTAGAGCGTGCATTTTTAGGCAGCAAAACACTGTTTGCACCTGACGACAAGCCGCCATAAGGTCTGCGTATTTTGGGGCCAAGAACTGGACAACATTACAGAAACACCTTTCACCGCATTACGAATTCAAACTATTACACATTTGGCCCCAAGAGAAGATGGGAAGGATATCATTTGCAACATCACAACATCAAAACATTCAAAATTGGTCATTTTGTTCGTCTCGGAATGGTATCATGAAATCTTTTCCTTCGTTGTCATTCCTCTACTTTTCCAATCATGCAAACAGCAGCCGCTTGCTCATCATGCCTATACATACAAAAAATGATAACGTTTCCTTTTTTACAACTTGGTCTGAGGAGCAGCGACGCACTTCATCAGGGCACGTCCGTTGCTGAGCACGACTTTACCACCCTCGATCTGGACCTGGAAGCGGATCTCCTCCCAGCCATCCTTGATCTGACCAGTCTTCCACGCCGACGCAACAAGCTTGTCACCGCCGCGGACGGGGCTGGCAAAGCGGGCCTGGTATTCCTTAATGTTGGCAGGGTCACTGCCGCCAAGGTGCTGGAGGAGGCCGTGGGCAGCCCAATTCCACGAGTACAGACCGTGAATGATGACACCTCCGAAGCCCATCTTCTTGCCGGGCTCGGGATCGGCGTGGAGGGGGTTGTAGTCGCCGTTAAGGCGGTACAGTAGGGGGGGTCGGGAGTCGTCTGGTTCTCGAAAACGACATCGGGCTTCTTGTCCTTGGGAGGGGGGAAGCTCTGGGTGGCGGGACCCTTGGGGCCACCCCAGTTGCCCTGGTTGACGTAGAAGGAAGAGGTGTGGATGCGCGAGTAAACCTCGTTGTTGGCGGCATCTACAATATCGGTCTGGGTCTCGACGACAGAGCCCGGGCGACCCTTGTCATAGACGCCGACAACCTTGGTCCGCGACTCGAACTTCTTGCCCTCAGAGGAGGTGGGAAGCTGCTTGAAGAACTCGATCCGGCGCTGACCATCGACGACACGGGTGGGGTCGAAGACAGGCACGCCAGGGATGGCAACGGACTTCTGGGCGGCATAGAAGTCGACTACATCTGAAGAGTCAAGCTTGAAGGCTGGAAGACGGTTAGTTATACACTGGCAACACTGCTGAGCGGAATTAATTTGCAATACTTACACAAAGCGAGAGGGTAGGTGGGGAAAGGAGTGAAGTTGGGATGAAGCTCGTAGAGGAAGTGAAGCTCCTCGGCCTTGCATCCAATGGACTGGGCAAAGAGCAAAAGATCCCTCTTGCACCAAGAGACACTCTTGGAAGGGTATTCGAAACCAACACCGGGGCCGGACATTGTGAAGACTGAAGCTCGGTGACGAGAAGATATACAAGAATGGGTGAGGGGTGATGGAGGTTGGTCCGTCGAGATTAGAATTACAGAATACAGTCTACAAAATGACGAGCTCGAAGGGGGGGAGATGTCACAGGCTTTTTATGTATCAAGAGTCTCCCTGTCGCTTCTCGGACAAGAGAATCGCCTGGTTGCGGAGGTGGCACGGAAACCCGGTCGATTGCGATGCCGGTGGAGGGATGAGGGATGCGGGGGATAAGGCAGGCCGATAGAACCTCGGCAGGCCTGAGCTACCTACGCGTACTTCTGGAGCCAGAGAGGTTCACTGTGTGGGGTAGTGCCCGCATTCGCGACAGCTTTTAGACCACATCGGGTCAAGCGCCCGCTCGGCGCCCTTTGCACTCCGGAGTCCTGTCCCTGCCCTGACTGAAAAAAAGGGCGAGCAGAGCTTATCAGATCTTGTTTTTTGCTTTTTGTTTTAAAGTGACATCGAATGTTGCGATATTGTTTCTACACCGCATATATAGAACTCTGCCAACTCAAGCTTGTCCTGGACGGGAATTCTACAAATGCAGTTCCGTAGCAGTGGCCTTGACGCAAGATGCACCGTGAGCCTCCAAATGCCTCTTGTCTTCTTCAAGGTTAGCGTGCTCTCCATGCCGGTTTGATGCCCTGGAGAGCAGGAGTGGATGTCCCCCAAAAACACAGGGGGCACAGGCCTGATAAGATAAGCATCAACACCAAAAATTTCCAGACCACCGCCTCTGCAAGTGAAGGGGTCGTGAGCCCTCATCCAGGTTTCCCTTCACAGTGAACAGCATCATTGCATTCGTCATCTTCCCTCCAGGTGTTCTTGTGGCCCGTGATTCACTTTTTAATATTTCTTTGAAGAATCGTTTGTGCCCCCATTGTTGTTCCTGCTGGCCTGCCGCAGTGAATGATTTTTGGTCTTTCATTCAAAAGTCAACACCCGCTCATCCCCCGACCGCATCACTTTGCCCTTCAAACATTGCGTCTTCGTCACAGCATCGACAAACGCCAACATCGGCCTCACAATAAGAACCATGGCTAGAAATAAGAGCAAGGCGGACGGCATGCGACCGAACGGGTCAGCACAATGCACTTCTGCTGTGCAGAGCGCTTCGGCCACCGAAGCAAGCCCTTTTCTTTTCAAAACGGCAAGAGGACAAGTTGCAGAGAGCTCACCTTCCACCACCCCCAGAAACCCATTCCTGTTGCCATCAGTTCCAAAACCCACAAATGGTCCGAAATCTACCACCACAACCGCCATCACCGAAAAGAACACGCACAAGAAGGCCCTTTCGAAAGACGAGTACCTTGCGGAAGCCCAGAGGCGGCACAACGTCAGCCGTGCCAGGAGAGACGCCGAGCTGAGGGAGTTGTACCGAAGTTGCCCATCTATCAAACGTGCCATCAAGCGTTATTCCCAAAGGAGGTCCCAGTGGGCGAAATCGATGAGGAAATTACAAAAAGCCGGCGCTTTCTTGGAGAATATGGGCGCCCTCGGCGGTGCTCCGCAATTACAAAAGATGTCACCCAATGGTTCAGCCATAGCCACCATAGAACCACCATCAGCCAATTCTCCGGCTCTTCCTCAGACCAATTTCACTGTAGACGACCATCCCGATAATAACAGCAGCAAGGCTCCCAGTGTCACCAGCAGCTCCGACGAAACAGTCAAGTCGGACACTAGGACGGTCGACTCCCTTTCGACGAACATCACGACACCGGACCTGTCCGACTGTGATAGCCTGGTCAAATCCGCGACGAAACCAACCAAGCAAAATACGACTTCCTCCTCAGCTTCAGTGACCTCCTCAGCTTCAGTCACCCCTTCACAAGACAAGACCGATGCTGTCACAGAACAGCCCGCTCCCAAAGCAGAGAAGTTCAAGATTACTATCAACGTCGAGACTGTAGCCCCATCGAAGGGGTCCAAGTCTTCCACCCAAAACGCCAAACAGGATGCGGCACCAATAACCACCAGCGGCGCTCTGACGCCCAAGAAGTCGGTTGACGAGAAGGCCGAGAAGAAGCAGAAGACGAGCAGCGACAAGGCGGACGGTCAAGAACTCCAGAAGGAGAAGCAAAAGGAGAAGAAGCCCAAGGCCGACGGTGCTGCCCAACCAACGCCAGAAAAGAAGTCCAAGAAGCACAAGCGGGATGAGGACGACAAGGACAAGGAAGAAGGCGCCACTGAGGAGCCCAAGGCGAAGAAATCCAAGACCTGCAGCTCAGAACCCCCAGCCATGACTCCTGCCTCAGGCATCGACAAGTCCTATAAGCCCTACCCGAACGTACCCCCAGAAATCAGGAAAGAGCTCTTCATCGTCAAGGCCGAAGAAATGATTTTCGACCCGCTCGGCTACGACGACTTGGTCTACGACGACACCAGGCCCAAGAGCAAGCGGCCCAAGTGGAGGAAGACCGGTCGCAACACGGGTCACAACGATATGATGATGTCCGGCGGTATTGGTCCTGCAGACGGATCCTCCTCTTCTGGTTCCCACAAGTCCAAGAAGAACCGGTCGGGCGGTGACGACAGTCTCTCCAAGCAGGTGCTCAAGAAGGGGCATAACAAGAGGGTTGCGGAGGAGGTTTCTTCGCTCAAGGAGTCGGGCTCGAGCTCCACTTTCGGGGAGAAGAGGGAGAAGAGGGAGAAGAGGGAGAAGAACGAGTTCAAGAAGAACAAGCACGGCCACGACCACGGCCATCGGGACCAGCACGAGCGGGACGGCCAGAAGAACTGGAAGCATAAGCCAAACCAGTCGGGGAGTTTGGCGGCCAAGTTCAGGAGGCACAACAAGTGATCCTATCCTGACAGTTGCGCAAAAAAGCGACGAGTGGGTTATCCATTTGCGAGGAATAGACCCCGCTATGGAGAAACAAAACGGGCGAGGATTGCAGGTTCGAAGAGACCGGTTTTCACGGCTGTCAAAGGCAGAGACACCATACCATCTCCCCGCTCAAGCATAAGCAAGGGACGCTGCTCTCCCGCCGAGCGCTTCCTCGTCGCGTGTCATTCCACAACTCCTAATCTAGGGATAAAGCGAAGGGAAGCAGACGGGTCCTCATAGACGGGTCACCCAGAGGAGGAAAATAAGCGGGTGGTATATCCAACATGGCTGTCCTTTTCACACAAACAACCATTGCATGGCTCTGAAGCGCATGGTTGCATGGTAGCATGGTAGCATTCACAGTTGGCGAGCGGAAGGAAGGTCACTTATTATGCATATTTTGCTTTTTACTTCTCATTTCGGCGCACCGGGTGGGTAAAAAAAAAGTCGGAAGATTTCCTCGACGGACATCGTGGCAGAGAAAAAAAGGGGGGAAGGGGTTGCTGGATGAGATGGGCGCAATACACGGCCGGCGGACTACTACTTGTGTGGCGTGGCGTGGCATGGCGTAACATAATTGCATTTGAAACCTTTTCGGAAGACGGTTCTGGTGGTAAGAATACTAGAACCTTTTCTTGCCTTCCATTCTCTTCCTTTTCATGGCTACCTCTAAAGATTTGGTTTGCTCTTATCATTGATTGCTATATAGAATCATGACTTGGTTCAGTTGGAACAGATACCCGTCTTAGGTATCATCTTTTGCGAATAGTCACAAAAGCGAGGACAAGCGAGTTTGCTTGATAGACGGAAAAGTGTGCCGTGCTATAAGCAACACACAATTCAAATATTGCACATACATACAATCTTGTGATCTTGTCAATCAAACCGGGAATCAACTGTGAAACCATGACAGCAGCCGCTCAGACGGGGCCAGCCATTTCTTGAGATACATGTAAATAAAATAGTTTGATCGCTCATAGCGAGGGCCAAAGAAATCCATTTCTAAAAAACGACAAAAGAGAGTGAGGTATCCTTAATAACACGCCATATGTACCAAAAAAACATCCAAGAAAGCAGAAACGACCCGTATAACCGTACCCTTTGCTCCCACCCACTTATCGTGTACCGATGATGATCATGAACCATCAGCCCACAGATAACCTGATATCATTACAAAAGAGATCCCTCAACCAATCACCAATCGACAGGCAAAGGAAACCCCTTTTAAAGAGTTAGAACCTCATCGCCCTTGCACGATCGCATTCCTCCAGGAACTTGTAAATACCCTCTAACCCTTCATATCGGTCCTCCGAGTAGTGCTCACTAGAAGCGCTCTTCAGAGACGGCGACATGCTCTCGTAACCTTCTAACTCTTCCGAGACAACGGAATGTTCCGATGCCAACAGCCACGGGTTCTCCTCGACCTCCTCCACAAACGCGTCGTCGAGTTCGTTGGAGCTCTCTGACGAGACCCTGGTACGAACGGTCTCGTCTGGCGACGTGAGCGTCTTGGAGCAGCCGTCGTCAGCAGGGGCATATGGGAACCGTAGTGCGACCTGGACACCGGCGTCCATATCGAAGTCGGGATCCTCCTTGATGATGCCGCGCTGGACGCCGACGTCATTGCACAGCCGCTCAACCGTTTCGGCATCCACGCCCGGGAACCGAACCCTTAGCAAGTCGGCCCGCTCCAGAGAGATGGGCAAGTCGCCTAACCGCGCGAGAGCCTTCAGATCCGCCATGACGGCCGCGAGATCCTTCAGGGTGCGGGCAAAGTCCACGGAAAGGACATCGAGGAAGTTGTCGGCGAGAAGGGTGGCGCCAGCGGTCTGGATCTCGGCCTCGACGCTCTGGGAAGAGGGGATCATGGCGCCCAAGGGGCTAAGAGCCGTGACGGAGGGGCTGATGTGGAAGTCAATGGACGAACCCGGAGCGTGCGGCGCAACCGCGAGCTTGTTGCGTGCCTTCTCTTCGTCCACGCTGACGGCCCGGTACAGCTTCCGGCCATCGGCCGAGTAACCGTCAAAGTGAGCCCGTTGGCCAGAGAACCAAAAGGCGCGGACGGCTTGGCTGACGTTCTGGACAACTTGAGCCGGGGCGGCGGGTGTGTGGCTGAAGTAGCGCTTACCGCCTGCACGGCCGGCTCCGGGAGAAGGAGTAGCCGCCTGCGGTACGGGGGAGGGCGCCTCCGGTAAGGTTCGGTCGGAGGGTGGAAGCGAAAGGAGCCCGGCCAGGGAACGCAGCTACGGCCTGGGAGGTGGCCGAGACGGGGAACTTGGACCGGTCAAAGCGGGATTGTTGACCGGATGAAGGGGACTGTTTCCCGGCGGTGTTGCTGATGTAGCGACGGACAGTGGCATTGATGTTGGCGTAGGTCGAGTGCCACTTTGCGCCGCCTCGGCCGCTCTTCTGCTGGCGAAGCCATGCGGCGGGGTGAATAGGTTGACGGGCACCACTGCGTACGGCAATGGGCTGGAGTTGTTGTGCTGAATTTGATGAACGTGTCGCGGCGGCGGCGAGCTTCGAGCGAAGCATCTTGGACGTGCGCGCCAGGTTCTTGCCGAGAACACGCAGGGCGGCGGCGGCCCACATGCCTCCCACGGCGGGAGACATTCTGCGTGGTTGTATCGAGATTGAGTGAGATTTAGGTTCTCCCACTTCAAGTCTGCAACACGACGCAAAATTTGACAATGTTGTTGATGTCGATGTTTCGATGTCTTGGGGAGGAGATGATGACGATGAGACGGGTGTGGTCGGGATGTTAATGAATGGGATGCCTTATCGATAAGTATTCGCCACCGCCGGCGGCAACTGTTACAGATGAGGCAGCTGACGACTAACATGCAAGTAAACGAGCTCAGCGGGAAGACCCAATGCTCCGATTGATGCATGAGCGGGCCGGCAGCTGGCAGTGCTGCGGCGGAGCCGAAACCTGGTGCAAATCCAGGTGGGGTCAAGCCCTCTCCTCGTGCCCGACCCAGCCAATCTTATCGGCCGCCCCACACGGATTTTGGCTCGCGGTTTTAAACCCAAAATTTCTCCCAAGCTTCAAGCTTCGACTTCTTTTCTTCTTCCCCAACCAGGAAGTCTGGAGCGTCGGTCGCGCGCGCGACAAGTTATTCTGTCGCCGGCACTTATGCTTCAGACTTCATTCCACAGCAAGGTAAGAACCGCAACTTCTCGTTCTCCCTCCCTGCCTGCTGCGCAGCCATTTGCTACTGTGATGAACATTCACGAACAATCCAATTCTTACCTAGCCCATGGGGACTCCAATTTACTCTAGAATTACCCTGAGAGCAAAATTGGCAGCAAGGCTTGTTGGTATCGCTTGGTCATGAACTTGATGCTAACTTTCTGCCTCCAGTGCTGGTGTCTTTCATCAATGGTCGATGACAACCGTCCTGGTTGCTCTTCATGATCTCATTTCTTCACACATCAAAAGGTTTGTGCCCACATCTTTCTTCCTTCCCCCAATCCACCGTGATGATAAATGTACAACAGGGATTCCTCAATCTTAATACACCATGTAGAGTTTGTAACTAGTTTCAGCCTTGTCTGATTGGATACACAACCATCTGTCGCTTGTTTCATGCCTTTGTTTTGACACATTTGCTAACTCGCGAATCTTCAGGTATGCTCATGGCTCACGATCAACATCCTGGCACTATGACGAAGATTTGAACGAACGGGCGGACATAAATGAAGCCTCTCTGTCTTCGTCCATCAAAGCAGGACTGTACATCCTGTGGGCGGGGTTCAGGGAGAAATTCTTGCTGAGAACTCGTCAGCTGATTTCGTGCCCTTGCACCATCTCTTGTCAACACATCAGAGCGTCTTGGGGATCTGTAGACTAACATGCCGATCCGCAGGTAACAACTTCTTCGCGTTCGCACTTCCTCTTCCCTTATTATTATGATGAGACGATATTCACACTGTTTGACCTTCCTTCGGGTTGGAATGAACACTAAACAAAATCTGATTTAATGAGGTATGTTTCTGCCGCATTCTCGCTCATGATGGGCTTTTTGCTAACAGTTTCCACCAGACTGAAAATAATCTTTATCGAACTACGCTTCGTTTGCCATACCGAATATCTGGCAGTGGCTAACAGTTTCTCAGTTCTAGGCATTCCTTCGAGCAATTAGCATTGGGGTGGCGTTTGGGTGTCTGTAGCATATCTGAATCGATGCTCTTTTCAATGCTATGATCTGATTGTTGTTGTGACCAGTCCCATGTGATGAACCCGTATCCTGAAAACTTCTGCCTTTTGTTTATCCATGTACTTTTTCATCGCTTCAACTGCAACCTTGCGTTCCAACCGACGATGCAACGTATCAAATCCCAATCGCCGTTATTTCCAACCCAATCTGTCACTACGATGCCAGTCCCAGCATCGCCAACGGTAAGCTCACCTGGTTGCTTCTGAGGAGCTCCGTGACCCATACACAGATACTCGATCATGGATGGGTTGATCTTCGCAGCAATCTTTTCAGGCCAGCAACTCGCATTGAAGAAGTTGCTGCCACTCAGAAAGTTGATAAACAGAGGCAACGGACCGCCAGCAGCCTCCGATCCCGGCATGCCCTGTGGCACAAACACCTGCTGTGCGGCCCTCATCAACTCCTCCCTCGCGAACCCAATCTTCTTGTCAATATGCTGCGTCTGCCCAACCTCATAATAATCCTGGATCCGAATCATCCCGCTTCCACACGTCCCGTCCGCGCAGTTATCAGGCCACACCGACCCATCGATACCCATTCCCGAAGCCTGCAGACTTGGATCCACGTGAAACCGCCTCACCAGCACAATACGTCCCCGTGCCTGCTCCAGCGTCGGGATCTCAGGCTTCGTGTACCACCTATCCGGCGTCAGATAGCGAGCGGCTAGGTAAATAGATAAGTTCTGATCTGTCCCGCGCCCCGTGCCCTCGCGCTTGATACTCATCAACACCGTCTCGGATGGGTTGGCGTCCAGGAAGGCGTAGCATTCGGAAAGCAGGTCGTGGAAGTACTTTGTCCCCGACAGCGCGATGGGGAAGGCGGAGTGGACCAAGCTGAGGTTGGGCCCTTTGGTCTTGTCTTTGTGACTTGGTTCCGGGGCCTGCGGTGAAAGTTCGGGTTGGGGAGCGGGCGGGTTGGTGTCTGTCGGTGACTGAGTTGGGTCCGTCTTTGTCGCCGAAGTGGTAGGGGAGATTGGGAAGGCGCCGGGTATAGAGTCGGGTGTGTTGAGACGAGGAGAAGCGGTTTTGGTGGGCGAAGGGAAGCGGGAAGGGCAGGAGACACGCACGTCTAGGAAGCGCACGCCGTTGTCGAGCTGTTTGCGGACGGAGATGGCTTGGCAGCGTACGGAGGGCAAGGCGACGTAGCAGGTTGGACTGTTGTGCGTGCCGGGGATGCTGAGGGCTGATAAGGGGTAGGATGGGTTGAGCTCGGCCATCCAGCGGTTGAGGTGGGCGCTGCTGAAGATGGCGAGGAAGGAGTGCTGGGGCATGTAGATGAGGGTGAACTCACGGTCGGAAGGGGGGACTTGAGATTGTTGGTCTGAAGGTGGTGGGTTGGCTTTCATGACGATGCTCCGCGGTGAGGGACCGGGGATGGAGACGGAGTAGGTGTATGGCGTGCCGGGTTCGGCGAAGGTGAGGCGGAGAGATTCGCCTTTGGAGGCATCGGGTAGTGAGATTGAAATCTCATGCTCGGAGAAGGGCCGGATGTTGACATCGGTGATGTCTTGCTTGGTGACTGGTTCCTTAGCCGCACCGTTGAGGTCCGTTACCGCGGCGGTTGGTACCGACTTGGATTTCCCGGTAATGCGAGACGTGATCTTCGCAAACCCGTTCGGCTTGCGAGCCTTGGTAGGGTCCTCGTGGCGCTCCACTTCCTTCAGCTCGAGCGGCGTGATGGTTAGGTTGCGGATGGTGAGATTCCCCATCTTGACTATCTTGGCTGTGGTGTCGATCCGACGGTTCCGCCGGGTTGATGATGGTAATAGTATGGGTACGGTAGCAGCCTTATGCGGTATAGCATATGCTCTCGTCTCGAGGTAGCTGGACATGGAAGTCCGTTCTCTCCCGTCTTTTTTCAAGACCAACCGTGGTTATCAGACTGTCTTGTCTTGTCGCCTGAGCCTACTCCTGAGCTGAGCTTGCGTGACGTTGTACAACTGGGATGAACTCGTCAGAGAGGTACATAGAAAAGTTCCGAGCCCGCAGAATGTGATGATATCGTTACGCTATTTCGTCGGAGAAAGGAGGCAAGTCTACTTGATCCATGATGTCTTACATGTTGACTTGTCTGTTCGTCTGACTTGAGCTTTTGGAAGCATGCAAAAGTCGTACCTGATGTTTCTTTGGGATGGACGCGGTCAAGGTTATTTTCTTGGCTGGATGGATGAAGCACGATAAGAACTGAATAACGCAATTGGGGCCAAATCGGCTAGCAAAGTCAACAAATGTTTTGTTTTTGATATCCAAGGTTCATCTTGTTAAAGATCTTCGATGATTTGAGGAAAAGCTAAAACCAAACTCCTGAGCTACACCGCATTCCCCAGAAAGTAAAATGAGGTTTCGGATTTCCGCCCACATTTGTGAAAGCGATAATGCGCAGTGACGTAAACGTAGCAAGCCATTAACATAACCCAGCACAGTATCGTAAAACTTTCGAAAAATTATTGAACACCGCTAATGGCATTTTATCAACGAAACCCCATAAACATTAATTGATGTTCTTGGGCCCCTCATTTAGGGCTGAAGATATTTTCGATGATCTCTGGAGGTAGTGTACATGTTGATGCGTCTGAGGCAGTGGCCAGTGGGCCTCACGCCGAACGAAATGCGAAAAGAAACGAACCAGGAACTTCACGAAGTGTTGAACATCGCCAATGAGGAGCAAATGATTTTTGGAACAGATGAAGAGCAATTTATAAGGGGGCTTGGTGGCATATAAACAACATATGTTGCTCGACGAGAACAGCCCAAAGATCGAAGACCAGACGATAAAACATGACTGACCTCTAGCAATTTGCCGGCTTCAATTGTCCGAACCCTTCCTGAGAATCACCAACTGCAACCATAAATTCAGAATGATGCTGCGAAGGTTGCGATGAGAACTCCCGTCGCCGCCAAGCCTCGCAATCCCCGCGTACGTCCGGGAGGTCCTGCAGGTCTCTCGAATCTCATGTTGAGCCTCAATATCGTGAATAAGCAATGGGAATTCTAACCGCGCTCTTCTTCGGTTCCTATGCGGGGACTGTTACTTTGGGGACGGATCTTATCTACCTTGTAGGAACGAATTGCAACTTCATGAAGGCACGCCGCCTAGGTCCAAATTGCTTCAACTTCGCTATCGACTAGGTACGGTGTTTCCCCAAGTTGAAATGCTCATGGTATGCCATATAGCAGATTGCCAGATCGTTACGGACTAGACAATGATCGATATTGTCGGGGCGTTCAGCATGGAGGTAGCAGTCTTGGTATCGGACGTCCGCAAGATGGTTATTAACCCAAGGCCGGACGTCGCCTGGATAAATGCTGCGCAATATGAAGCCTACCAGCTGGGACGGCAACCGCACAATAGCCGGGTTTTCGGTGCCGGCCTCACTTCACATTCGGCATCAGGCCGAAGTTCGATAACTACGACCGTATATCCATGGAGAGGCTTTGAGGAGTATAAAGAGATGGAAAGTCGTCGCGAAGGAAGTGGTGATGTCGGCCATCGAAGCTGAGCATCGCCAACCCTGCACCCACCTCAAAACAAACACTCCAAGGTCTGAACAAAATGCGCTTCTCAATTCTCGCCAACGCAGCCTTTGCCAGCTCGGCACTGGCAATCCCCTCACTCGCCTCGGCCATTGCTCCCCGTCAAGAGAGTGCCTGCCTAACCAGGGCCGAAGCAAAAGACATCGTGGACATCTACGTCCAGCTGATCGCCAACTACACGGACGAGGTTTGCGCCAAGTACTGCGCCTCGGACTTTGTCGACCGGTCCGACAGCATCAACACCTTCATCTTCACACCCCTCGGGGAGCCAACCTTTGCGACCAAGGAGATCTTCATGGCGGCGCAGAACGCGAACCCGCCCTTCCCCGTCGTCGTCGACAGCATCGATGCCGTCGACTGCGAAGCCGTCGCACTCCGCTGGCACGCTACCTTCGGCGCTGCCAACCTCCCCAGCAAGGGCATCACCATCATCGGCACTACCAAGCGTGAGGGATATGCGCAGATCAAGAGCCTCGATCTCGAGTTTAACAGCTTGATCTGGCTCCTCAACATGGGTGGCAACTACACCTGGGAGGGTTAGACTTTTGTGAGAGGGTAAACGTCATGTGAGGGGGGCATCAAGAACGCAGGTATAGATCTGGACGCTTGACTTCGCCACATGGATTTTGATGTTCGGTTTCGCAATCGGAAAGGTGGGAGCTGGAAGACGGAATGTATATCAAGAATGGTGCTTTTTTTTTTTTCGCTTGGCAAGGGCGAGAAGGAGGTGTAGGCTTGAGGTCATAACATCGCGGATTCGATTCTGGAGTTGATGTTGTTACCTGTTTGTACAATGTTTTTTGTTTAGTGAAATATCTATGGAGTTATTGTTCAAGCGTCGTGCAAGTTGGGAATAGTCGATCTAATCTGTGTAACAGGCCAATGACCTCACCGGCCGAGACGACCACCCTCAACGTGATGTTTGTGAAGGAGTAGGTAAAACCCAAAGGTATTACTGCGTCTGTTTCCATCAAATGTTTTATTCCCACGCTTTTCCGTTGCCGTTGTTGGTATCTCCGTACCTGGACTGTAGGGCTGCATGGTGACATGTGGGACAACATCGGGGAATCGCAGGTTTGATGGGGAGGCGTTTGCCAGAGACAATCAAACCATGCCGTCGAGTCTTGGCGCACCTTGGACTTTGAAATTGAAGCTCGACAAAAGACCTCGCATGAATCTTTGGAGTATTGAACGTCTGAAGATGTCGACTTCGGCCATCAAGGGAGGCTGGAATAAGGTTCCATCATAAGCTGCTTTTCAGCGGTAAGACGGCTTGGGGGGACGTGCGAGGTACCAACCGACTCGATCTCGAGAAACGATGAGTTCGAAGTGCCCCTGCGTGGGGATGGCGTAGGGGCGCTTGGTGAGGCGCCTGAGCTGAGCGACTGACAATCAGGAACAGATGAGGTCACTTCTCACGCTGCGTTTGTATCACTGAAGCTGATGATGATTTGTATTGTATGTCCGATGGATTGTCATGACTTCAATTGCACTCAGTACCATGAAGAAGCCTCTGTTGACCGAGAGGAGCCATGTATGTAGTTGCATTCCAGGAATACTCGCCTCGATCATAGATGGAATTCAATATCAAATCATGCTTCGGCTTGTGGGTGAAGGATAAGACGTGCCGCCTCGACCGCCAATCGCGGAAGGGGAGAAACGCCGACGGGAGAAGAAGGTTGAGAACGGTTGCTGGGTTAAGAACTCGACTGGGGATCCGGAGAGTGGAGACGGGACTCAGGTACCCTGAAGACCTCCAATTGCCAGCCGAGGTGCGGTTACCAGGCTGGCTCACTGTGCAGGAGCTGCTCGACCCTTGCAGAACACCGAGCCCAATGCGTCAAACGCCGCAGGAATCTACGCGTTTTTGATTGGTCTTTCTCGACAATCACCAATCGGGTCCCGGTTCATCTCCCCTTTTTAAATTTGAAGGTTCTGCCTCGCACTCGCAACTCGCCAGGCTCGCAAAAGCCCGTGAAAGGGGACTTCTGGGCAAGACAAGCACTCGAGCGCCGAAGATCGTTGGTCGCGTAGTGTACAAGCTTGAGCGAGTCTGGTGATGTGACTGACCACTCAGTTGACGTCGACGGCAACTCCAGACCTGTCTGCCCTTGTCCATGTCTCTGAAGCGTTTGTTTGTGCTTGTCCGGGTTGCCTCTCCAGCGTTGACTGTCCTCCGCTGGGATCATGTGCGCATCTTATTATCCATTCTTCTGGGATGGAGATCGACCCCCTGGGACGGGCAGTCGACAGGCTACACAGAGATCCCAAACGCACAGCATCTCGCATCATGTCCATTCCAATGACACGCCGAGCATCTTGACAGTCAACGAGCGTATTTCGTCCAAATTACCAAAGGATCCTCTTCCCAAGCCAAAGAGGTCGTCAACCCCACAGCATGAAATGGTGAAACTGGAGCGCTTTCAAGGTTACCCGCCCAGCCCGTCCATGAGGATCCCCTTCCCAACGGATTACTTGGGACCCTGGACTGCCTGGCCGAAATGAAGGGACCCCATGGATATCCAGATTCCTGAAATTCCGTGGCTGCAGAGGAAGCCTGGGAAACCAGAATGTGGGAAAGGGGGGTGTGAAGGGTTTCATTGGTATAAGGCGCAGCGCCTGTAAGCTTGTCTATTTTGTATATCGCTAGTGCAGCGTTGCACCGAGGAAACCTTCACTTCTCCCATTTCAGTATTTTCTCATATTTCCGCCTTCCCCCCCTTCCTCTTCACACTCCCTTCGTCCTTCCATTCTTTTCGGCTTCGCCTCTTCATCCCGCGTTCGTGTTTCTGCCTTAGCTCGTGGTCATCGTCGCCGTTGTCACTCATTTACAACATACATATATACAACAGTCACTCATTCAGTCTTACTCTTCATCACTGCCTCTGCAGCCTTCCGATCTTTTCTTCAGATTTCTGTCATCGAACCATTTAGTGGCCCAGTCCCAGCAAACATCATCACATTTACCAATCAAGTCACCAACTCGACATAAGCAGCAAGATGCGTTTCTCCGTCGCCGCCGTCCTCGCTTTTGCGACCGCTGTCTTCGCCCAGACCGATGGCTTTGATGTCATCTCCAACCCTTATGCCGGCGAGAAGGTGCTTGCTGGCAAGCCCTGTGAGATCAAGTGGGCGCCCTCGACCGACCCCAAGTTCCAGGGCCCCGTCCGTATCGATGTCCTTGGAGGTGCCACCCCTCAGTCGTTGGACATTGTTGGATCCGTTGCCAGTGAGTAGTCACGGTCCTATTCACGTTACCATAAGAAGAGTACTGACCAAGATCCCACAGGCGGCGTTGACGGCACCAAGGGTTCTTACAAGTGGAGCGTCGCCTCGAACCTTGGCACTGAGAACACCTACGGTATCAAGATCACCTTGGAGTCCAACGAGAAGATCTTCCAGTACTCGTTCCCCTTCCACATCATTGGCGGCTCTGCCGACTCTGACGATGCCACCACCGTTGTTGTTCCCACCACCACTGCCGCTGTTACCGCTAAGCCTCTGACCGTCACCGCTCCTTCCACCACCAAGGCTGCCACCACTACCGTCAAGGAATCCGAGGCCGCCGAGACCACCTCCGTTGCCGCTACTGCTTCCGCTTCCGGCTCTGCCAGCGACAAGGCCTCCACTTCCGACTCTGCCAGCGACGAGGCCTCCGCTTCCGGCGCCGTTTCCTCCTTCAGCACCGTCGTCAGCGCCTCTGCCTCCAGCGAGGCTTCTGCCACCTCTGACGTCGTCGCTACCCCTTCCGCCTCTTCCACTGATGTTGTCACTGGTGGCGCTGCTGCCTTTGGCGCCAGCACCGGTGTTCTCCTCGGTGGTGTTGCCATGGCCCTCTTCGCCCTCTAAACAAGGGACTTTTTTGGTCTTGACTGGATACCTAACGTTGGAAAAGGGGTTGTTGTTTTGTCTTGTTTGATTTTGCATCTTGCTCGGCATCAGGATGGATACCACCTGTTGAAGAACGAAGGGCATAATTTAGACCCGGGAAGGAGAAAAAGCACGGATTGCAACTTGAAATATCCCGGACATTTTTGTAAATGATCACTGAGACCTTAAAAGTCATTAATCGAGCGGAATCTGCTTCCTCAAAAAAAAAAACTGATATATTGTCGTATAGTCCTGGTTCCCTCATTGGCTCGAATTTGTTTGGTGTGATGTGCGCGTATGTGGATTTTCGATTGGATGTTAAGTATTCGGACGGCAGCTTTTGTTGGCGTATCATCAATGGTGACGGACATGATTCGCTTGAGGGTGTGTAACGACGACAGCAAGGTGCTGTCAACACGACGTTGTTGGTCCTTCTTCGAATGCCCTGATATCGGCTAACGAACAAGATATGACCTTCGCTAATGTTCGCGCGCGGATTGGCGATGTCGTCGTCGATCTGGCCTGGAATGTCTCCCGATGTTCAACGTTGAAGTGCCGGTGATCCGTCTCAGATGAGATATTTTAAGGTACTCCGAGTGCATGTTTTGTAGGCGTTGAGAGCAATAAGCCGACCTTGTGTTGTCGAAATACGCTCATTCTAGGTCCGCTGCCTCGGTGGATTGGCACATGTGCTGAAATTCAGCATATTCATGTAGGTTGATGAATGAAATTGTCTCATATGGAGGCTCTGGCTGGTGCGTGGTTCCTTGCATTCATTTCATGTTGTGCATCCTCATCCCGACTGAAGTTCCTCAAAGACGCTGCGCGGGTGATCTCCAAATATGTAAGCACAGACCACAAAAGCTAAAGATGCCAAGCCAAGCGGTGAGACTTGAGAGCGTGCCACATGTAGAAAAATGCGGGGCAAAAGAAAAAGGGACTTGAAAGTCGTAGTGACTGTTCAACTGCTTGTGCAAATGCTGGAGTGTGGAAGTCTCAAGTACAAGGACAGCTGTGTCGGTGCCCCTCTCCCCAATCCAATGGACCCATCAGGAAGGGACAGTCTCGCAGACAACACAGCTGCCATCAACTGAACCTCTTGCTTCGTCTGGAGTCTGGCCCGCCAAAACCCTCCACGAGCCCTCCACTGTTGACAAGGACTAGCCGCCAACCTCGAAATCCCATCAGCCAAATCGCCAGCCCCGTACACTACAGACCTCGCTCTAGTACCCGACCTCCTCTCTCTCCGTTTTCTGTTTTATTTCTCTATTCCGTTGCTGCCCGCGCTGCGCGCTTCTCGACTCCGCTTTTCCTGTAGACATCAAACACCAAATAAATCAGTTCACGAAGCAAAGATGAGAGGCGAGGTAAGACATGCGCCCGTTACCAACACCTCGCGATCCTTCTAGCACAGACAGCATGACCCTGGGACCCGACCCCTATTCCGCCGCCGTTGGACAGCAATCCCATGGTACCCAAGCAACGAGTTCAACGACACGCTCCTCTGGAGCTGGGAACGCTCGCGACAACGACGACACGCGCCGATAACCACTACAATTGAGTAACAATTAAGCTCGACAACTCGAATTGCCACTACTATAGACTCGTTCACGACATTCAGCAGTCCAGCATTACACGCTAGTAGCTTGGGCTGTCCACCACCCCGGGTCCCATGTCGAAATCCTCATATGCCATCTCGCACACTCATATAGCGCATCATGGAACTACTACCTTAACGCGAGCACAAGTAGCTGATACAGCTTCAAACAGGTTGTTCACATCCACTTGGGCCAGGCCGGTACCCAGCTTGGTAACAGCGCCTGGGAGCTGTAAGTGCTCAAAACACACCGCTATGCTCCTTTGGCGTCACCTTCTCTAACACATATGCTCTCTCTAGCTACCTCCTTGAGCACGGTCTTACCCAAGATGGTCGCAAGGACCCTGACTCTGCCGTCGCCGGCGAGGGCGGGTCTTATGATACCTTCTTCACCGAGTCCAGCAACGGCAAATATGTCCCTCGCTCCCTCTTCGTCGATCTTGACCCTTCCCCGATCGACGAGATCCGTACCGGCCCCTACCGTCAGCTTTTCCACCCCGAGCTCCTGATCAGCGGCAAGGAGGATGCCGCCAACAACTACGCCCGTGGTCACTATACTGTTGGCAAGGAGATGGCCGAGAACGTCCTTGATCGCATCCGCAAGATCACCGGTAGGTTATCTTCGACAATCTTGGAGCAGGTAACATGGTTCTAACTGGCCTGGACAGACAACTGCCACTCTCTCCAGGGTTTCCTTGTCTTCCACTCTTTCGGTGGTGGTACCGGTTCCGGTTTCGGTGCCCTCGTTCTCGAGCGCCTCGCTCAGGACTATGGCAAGAAGTGCAAGCTAGAGTCAGTCTTTCCTCTCTACTTCCCAATGGTGTCAATGGGTCATCTTGACAGATGATTTGGTCTTGTTTGAAAGGCTGGGTTCTGGACTTTCAACCTCGTTGGTCTTTCGAAGACTGCGCCTGGACTCTGTTGAAGTTCAGCCATGCGGGCGAAAAGACCGGGTTGGGAGACTCACAACCTTGTTTGGAACAAGACCGATGTGCCCCGACCTTTTCATGGAGGTCACTCTCACTGACAGCGTCCTTGAACAGGTTCTCCGTCTACCCTGCTCCTCGCGTCGCCACCGCTGTCGTTGAGCCTTACAACGCCGTCCTCGCTACCCACAGCACCCTCGAACACAGTGACGTTACCTTCCTTGTCGACAACGAGGCTGTGTATGACATTTGCCGAAGAAACCTCGATATTCCTCGTCCTAGCTACGAGCACTTGAACCGCCTGATCGCCCAGGTCGTTTCTTCCATCACCTCGTCCCTCCGTTTCGATGGTGCTCTTAACGTCGATCTCAACGAGTTCCAGACCAACTTGGTTCCTTTCCCGCGTGTCCACTATCCTCTTATCTCTTACGCTCCTGTTATTTCGGCTACCAAGAGCGCTCACGAGAGCTTCAAGACCTCTGAGCTTACCCTCCAGTGTAAGTGGAATCTTGGCGTTTTGGTTAGCCTTATCATTGCGATCCTAGACACTGACATATTTCTGAATAGGCTTCGAGCCCAACAACCAGATGGTCGTCTGCGACCCCCGTAACGGCAAGTACATGGCTGTCGCTCTTCTGTACCGTGGTGATGTTGTTCCTCGTGACACCGCCGCTGCGGTTGCTGCGCTCAAGGCCAAGTCCTCCTTCAACCTCGTTGAGTGGTGCCCCACTGGCTTCAAGATCGGCATCAACCACCAGAAGCCCATGTCCGTCCCCACTGCCTCGCCCGCCGATGGTGGTCTTGCCTCTGTCGACCGCTCCGTCTCCATGCTTTCCAACACTACCGCCATTGCCGAGGCGTGGTCGCGTCTTGACCACAAGTTCGATCTTATGTACAGCAAGCGCGCCTTCGTCCACTGGTACGTTGGTGAGGGTATGGAGGAAGGCGAGTTCAGTGAGGCCCGTGAGGATCTTGCTTCGCTCGAGAAGGATTATGAGGAGGTCGCTGGCGACTACAACGATGTCGATGTCGATGCTGAGTACTAAGCGGTTGCTTTTCCTATGGTCAATCATGGCGCGATTGTTGGGTCCAGGGCGGTTGAGTCGGTTGATTTGACTCCGAAAGGTGCACATCAAGCCGAAAGCAATAGCGCAGCCCGGGTACGCCCTTGACAATCAGCACCTTAGCCCCATAGTCTCACGAAAAGAGCGCGGAGTTAGGAAGGACTAGACGAGAACATGACGACTTATGTAATTCCCCTTTGAAAGCACATACATACCCACCCCTTTAATCTTTGGCCTTGATTGTAGACCGAACAATGTATGAATCTTTGTTCCCATATACCATACTAAGCCATGAGGGAACGTCCGGTTGGCGCTGTTCATATGACATTGTGACCTGATGTGACAGATATGCGGCGAAGAATAAACTATGAAGAAGGGTAGCCAAAACTTCTTTTAAAACAGAAGACAAACACATGCAATATGCGAAAACAGACCAGGATAAGCCACACAGGAGGGGATACACTCGGGGTAAGTTTTGTTAGAGGTCTAGGTGTAAGTAAATAGTCGCTATGCCTTACACCAAATGATGTCTCAATAGTTCCTGCGCAGTACATATTATGAAGTGAAGTGAAAATATTCCGATACAGAGAGAATTGGTTTTATATATTTAATTGCCTTTCGCACTCTCGTCATACTCTTTTCTTTGTCTTTTGTCAACTCTCTTCACCTCTCTTACTATCATCTCTTCACTTCTATTTTCACTTTATCTTTACGTATATATGTACTTTTTCACCTCCTATTTCACTTCTCTTTTCATCTCCTTTTCTCTTCGATTCCATCCTCACTTCTCACCTCTCCTTTCACTTCTTTCTTTGGTGATATGCCTTGACTGATTCCCTCACGCGAGCTATACCGGAATCTCGAGGACACTCGCATCAACGCTCGTACGGGCCAGACCAGAGCAAAGTTAACAGTGCCAGTACCAGAGAATGTTCAGTTCCTGCAAACTATTCTGTCTGCAACTCAATCCACTCCATTGCTGATTGACGTTGCCAAGCATTGCATTATAACGTAAAAATTGTGCAGTGAGAATTATGACGCACCGCTGGACAGTTCCTTTTGGAGACACCTTCACATGCAATGGCCACATTAGATTCTACTCAGTCCATACATGGGGTCTTGGGCCGAAATCGCCTGTCTTTCTCATCGAACTGAACCGCATTCTTTAAAGCCTAAATAACGGACCGCACGGCACGGCATCGAACCGCGCCGCTGCAGTTGGTGCCGGCTTCATACTAGCAAACACCCTTCCTTCCTTACCCCCTGGCGAAATATCTACCATAGTCTAGCACTTATTTCTTTCCCTTCCCTTGAACCTTCCACTTCGAAGCCCTCGCCGCAGCACGACCTGTCTTCTTCTTTCCACCACCCGCATTCGGCGCCTTGTTCTTCTTGGCACCCTTGAACTTGAGATCCTTGGGCTTTCCGTCCGCCGCGCTGGCACGCTTGCCCTCGAGGATGAAACTCTCGGGAGACTTGTAGGCGCCGGGAACTCTGGGGCCGGTCGCCTCCGTGTTGGCGCCCGAGGCCTGACTCCTCCTCTGCGAGGCCTGGTACCGGTCCTGCTTGTTGAACTTGTTCTTCTTGTCGGAGCCGATGACCTGGCGGGCGGTGAACTTGCCGAGCAGCTTCTCGGCGCGACCGGCGATGGTCTTGGCTTCGGCCGAGATCTTGGGGGCGTAGTCGGACTTCTTGGAGCCCTTGCCGTTGCCGCCCTTCTTCATGGTTTCGGGCGCGGTGCCCTGCAACTTGAGCTTCTTGGCTTCGATGGCGCGCAGGGTCTTGTGGGGGGCCTTGCAGCGGCTGACGCGGAGCTCACGGGGGAGCATGGGGGGAAACTTCTTTCCGTTGAGAAGAATGGCTGACTCGACGGCGTTCTCATCCTGTGATGGGGGAGAAGGTCATTAGTTAAGGACGATTAAGGGTAGATGTAGGTGGGGATAAACTCACGTAAAACTGAACGTAGGCGAAGCCCTTGCCGACACGGGTCACAGGGTCGCGAACCACACGGACGCTCTCGACCTTGCCGCCCTCCTTTCCGAACACTCTCCAGAGACCCTCCTCGACATCCATGGGCTGCTTTGTCCGCTTCTTCTTCTCGGTCACCTCCTTGCCTTCCTCGTTCACTTTAGTTTGCAACACTGACTCGTCATCCACGAATCCAAGGTTACCGACGAAGACGCAGCGCTTGTGGTCCACCGGGGCAGGATGGGCAACGCTGTCGACACGAACGTGGCGATCCAAGACAATGGTGCCATTCAGTTTCGAGCAGGCAAGACGAGCGGCGGCAGGGGTGCTGAAAACAACATAGGCGTTTGTCGATTTCGTGGTGGCCTCCATGACGGACTTCTTGATATAAGCGGCGCGCTTAGGAATGGCAGCTGTAGCGAAGGCAGTCGAGCGGAAACGTATCGACTCGACCTTTTGCGCAGGCTTCGCCTCCTTGTCCAACACCGAAGCCATATGCTTCATCAATGTCTTCTTGGCCGCGCGGTCGGTGACGGCCTCAACGGCGACATTGCTGAGGAAGACGGTGCGGTTGGCCTTTTCGATCTCATTCTGGGCAGCATCGGGCGCTAGCGATTCGTGGGCAGGGACCTCATCCTCAGACTCGCTGTCGTCGTCCTCCTTCTTCTCGGCCTTGGCAGTCTCCTTCTTTCGTCGGTTTCCTCGTCGGCCTTGAGACGCTTGCCAGCCGGCTCTTCATCGTCATCCTCCGCCAATTTCGCCAGGTATTTGTGTTCGAGATTGTCGTGCTGATCGCGTTGCTTGCGCTTCCGTTTCCGTCCATCTTCTTCCGGGACCTTTCCTTGTTCTACAACAGCTTCGAGGATCTCGGCGGCTTGAGCCTGTTCGTCTTCGCTGTCGTTGTCGTTCTCGGCCTCCTCGTCTTCGTCGTCCGAACCAATGCCGACCTCAGAATCGTATTCTTCGTCGAGCTCGCTCAATTCCTCGTCGTCGCCCTCGCCCTTAACTTCCTCCTGTTTCTTGGAAGGAACTGGCGCCTTCTTGGGCTTCGGTGGTAGGGGCTCCGAGTACTTTGTGGCAGGGCGAGGCTTTGCTGGACCAACCTAAGCAAAGTTAGCCATGTAAACTTCCAATTGTCTGTCTGGTCGGAAAGAGATGGCTTACACTGGTAGCGAACAAGGCATCCAAGCTAGGATCAACCTTCTTCACCGGCGCAACAAGTCCTTTACTATAATAGTGGTGTCAGAAACTGAAGAATGGTGTTGGCTAAAGGTAGAGTTGCTCGCACGTTTTGCCCATTGTGAGGTTTGCGTCGTGTGTCCGATCGCAAAAATGGATGTAAAAGTTGCACGGTTCGCCAATCAAGCGCTATGATTGACTTGTTTCTAAGAGCACAGGAGAACAACTGAAGTCCGACAAGGCGAAAGAAGAGCTCGACTGTCAATAGTACAGCAGTCGAATTGGGTAAAAAAAAAAAGGCTTCTGATTTCTAGGTAGGATGTTGTACAAGTCAAGACCAGTTTCTGGGCGGGAAGGTTCAATGGCCCAGGGTCTCAAGGGTCGCTGTTTCTACCTTCCCCACTGCTGCGCATCGCAAGGACGAGTTGAGCACCGTGGAACATGATGCATCCAAAAAATTCGCCTTATCAGTCGTTATCGGAACTGCCAAGTTTGACCGCCTGCTATCACCTTTCTGTCCTGTCGTGCGGTGCAGTGCGCTGGGCATGCTGGGGAACGGGCGGCGGCGGCAGCGGCAGGCAAGCGGGCAGGCAATGCCCCCAGAAACCGGTTGCCCATTTGTGTCGTGCTGGTGCGGTGCTGTGGGCGCTTCTCCAGCTTCCAGTCTCGTCAATCCCCGATAACTGCTCCCACCCACCCGATCTGTCTTCCTAACCCGACCGCATTTCTCGACAATCGCTTCCTCGTTGCGACAAGATTGCCATACCTATCGCCGAGACATTTTATTCTGTGCGAACGCAACATCCTTCTACCTTCCAGCATTAATACACATTACCCTACTCGTCGCGCCACCACTCCAGGCGCTGTTCTTGAGCTGCCCGTGCAGTTCGGAAGTCCAGTCCGCCGCCCACTACTCAGTTCTACGTGGCTTACAACTTCACACTTCTTATCTGCTCAAATCGACATCGGCGCGTCGTTGCTTAGCTTCAATCTCGTGGGATTCTATGATCCGCGATGGCTACCGGTGACACCGCGCTGTCGTTGGCTCTCTCGAGCCCCCCTCCGCCTCTGCTACAACACAGCCCCAGCGATGTTTCAAGCCCACTCAGTGACGTGGAAGACAAGCATGGAGACCCCGATGACATGGATTTGGACATGAACAGTAACCACTCTCAACATCGCGAGGCATCGGTCCGAACTGACAATCGAGATGCCGCCGACTCGGACCTTGGCGCCGAGACTGACGACGAGAGCAAGCTGTCGGATGTGGATATTAATGACTCCGAGGCAGAGACAGAAAGGCTTTACGATACACCACCGAAAGATCGGGTATCGCGCGACATCGTGGACACCGCGGGTGAGCCCGGAACTCGACAATTCACCGACCGCCGCGATCGGACGTTCGAGCGCAGCCCCAGCAAGCTTCAACAGCAAATCAAAGCTGATTACGAACCCGAAAACACCGCCAGTGGGCGAAACACACCCTCAGAAGAGGCAGAAGAGGCCGACGAAGATGCATCCGAAGAGCTGAGCGAGGAAGAGCCTGAAGAGCCCGAATCCGCTGCCGAACTACCACCTGTACGATCACCCGTGCTGGCGAAGAAGATACAAGTAGTTTCCGCCTCAACCGAAACAGTCCTTACACTATCTCCCCGACATGATACCCTGAAGCGGAAACGCTCCTCAATTACCGAGCAGCAAGATCTCGTCCAACCGCTCAAGAAGCGGGCCGACTCAAATACCTCGCCCGAAGAGCTCTCAGCCGATGACGTGCCTGTTATTGACATCGAGGTCATCTTAACGAACCCCGAAAGCGGCAATCAAACTACCGAGGAAGATAATAATGACGAGCCAGTCACCACGGTCGGTGCCGATAGCGCAGCGAAGGATGAAACGGAGCCCGCGGAGGCGATCGAAGAAGACGCGACAGATGGTCGGACCAAAAAAGGAAAACGCGGTGTTATGAAGAAAAGAAAGAGCCCGACGCCTAACGTACCAGGTGGAGATGAGGTTGAAGAGATGCACGCCGACGCTTCTGCTGACGCAGATGTCGTTGCCGTCGAAGAGTCCGCGGCGCAAGCTGAAGAGGACCAAATGGACGATGTCGATGAGGAGGCTGAAGCAGCCCACAGAAACGAAGAAGAGCGTATGTGAAACCCAACTCTTCCATCCAATATTTCTTGCACTTACTAATTGACCATCGCAGTAGAGCGAAAGAAGACCGCCTGGGAGGAGCTTACAGCAATTGAGAAGAATTTCAACAGTTTCCGGGAGCGGTGAGTTTACCAGGCGTCGTTTTGATTTCTGGACTAGACCTAACAGCTTCACAGCCTATATCAGGAACGTCTAGAGTTGCTCAATCAGGAAGAAGCCATGCTTACCTGCGAAAACCCCACCCATCCTGAGTATCTTGCGATGTTACAGTGTCTGAATTCCCGACGGGAGGAAAGGATAAAGACCAGCACACTCGAGTTACAATTCAGAATGGCGATGCTTCAGAGGCGCGCTGTAGCAGAACGAGCACAGATCTTGTCACAATACCACCAAGCCGTGCGCGAGTCGCGCGAAAAGGTGCTCGAGGAACTTGGCCAGGAATGGTACGATATACAACAAGAGCGCAGACGGTTTGCCAACGCCATACCCGACTACGGAATCCATTACCCCGCCGCCAAAACGCAGAGTATTCGCAATGCTGTTGCGTACAATAAGGAAGTGTCGATTCTGTCGGGCTTTGCCAAACACGTTGGATTCCCTGCTGCGCCACCAATACATGGCGCATCGGAGGATCAGGTGGAAAACGATCTCGAAGCTATAGCTGTGAGTGTTCGAGGTATCTCAATGCATACTGCCTACATCTACTAACCGCGGCTGTAGCGATCTCGCGAGCCTGCCCCTCGGCCTATACCAAACTATCCTCCTGCTTTCCACCAAGAGTATTCCTCCGCCGGGCTTCCGTTTGGTCGAACCCCCCTGGGTCCAGCCGGAGAACAATTTATCGAACAAACACCTTGGGCGAACCCAAATCACCCGGCCCATCAGATGCAGCGGCAACAATTACATCACGAGGTGCCTTTTGCTGGGCCTCCCTCTGGACCACGACACCACTCTCAACAGCCTATGGCCCCTATACCACAAATGGATTCGTTTGCGATTAACGGGGACGCGCACCCGGCTCATCTACAAAAGGGGCATGGTACTGGTGCTCATGAGCCAGTGAAGAGCGCCAAACTTGGGCCAGAACAGGCAATGAAGCGGGAGGGCGTGCCTCAGGCTTCATGAAACACTTAGGAGCACTACCGGGTCGCAAGGCCAAAATCACTTCAAGCAGACAGATTTGTTTTTTTTCTTCAGAGGCATTCGGATTACCTAGTCAGGCATGAACGGTGTTTTACTCCGCTCTGTGCTTGTTGCGGCATTGAGCGACGGTGGGAAGGAGTTATTGGGGTTCATAGATGATTTATTTCTCAGTGGCATGTTTGGGAGGTTTAAAGTTTCGGAGTACGGGTGGGATGATCGTTGGCTAACCAAGTCAACCAATGTGTATATGTCAGTGCAGGGTAGCTGGGCAAGTTGTTATGCTGAGCGTCTGGGATTTTGGGGCCATTCACTCCTTGCCCCTTTTACATACGAAGATATGGTCGGGCTATATATATGCCTGTTGACAAAGAAGTTACCCTTTGGATACTTCCAACCACAAATACATCACGGCTGAGGTGTGAACTCCTGCGCGAGGGGGTCTCTTGACTCCTCATTCCATCCAAAATACTGTGTTCCGTCCTGTTCCGTTCCCTAAACGCCATCATAATGTACAAACGGCCGGGACCGCTCTCTTGGATGCCCGTGCCTGTCCGTAGTGGCCGAAGCCACAGAGGTCATATTACAAATCTCTATTTCTTCTCGGGAACCTTGACGTCCTCGAATTCGTCCTGGCCGACAACGTTCAGGGTGTAGGCATCTAGAAAGCAGGGGCGGTTCGTCAGCTCAAAGGTTGTGTATACTGGGCGGGCAGGACGGTGGTGGTGGGTAATAAATCGCGTAGTCTTGTCTTCGGCTGGTAGAAGGTCTCATATAGGTGTGTATAAAAGGTCGGACGACGTACAGACGGCGAGGGTGAAAGCGGTAATGCTGGCACCGAGAACAGCGTTCTTGAAGATGTACGGACGACGCGCGCGAATCAGAGCCGCCGACTGGCGGTGGTTGCGGTCATAGTAACCGGAGTTGGGACGTGGGATGCTGTTCATCTTTGCGATTAGTGCTGTACGTGGTGGGCGGAAATTTGACACAGTAGAATTGCCCACTCACCCGGACATGTTGCTATTAAATTGACCGATTTATGAGAGCAGCTCTGGCACCGGATGATGTCGTCTTCGAGACAGCAGACAGGTCCAGGAAAAAGATGGGTGGGTCGGATGTTGCCGTATGCTTCTACGGTGCACTAGAAAGCTTATCAGCTCTCAACAGCCCCAGCGCTGTGCCGCCGAACAGGCGAAGCTGCCCGCTGTAGTTCGGGTTCCTGAAACAGCCGGCAGGCAATCAAAGCCGCGGCAGGCACAACCACCACTTGCGCTTGGTGTACCTTTGTACCTACCCAATATGATCCGTGCACCAACACCCTGCCCCTGCCCACTGCTTCAAGACAATGACGGCGCGTCAAGAAGGTTTCTAGGGAAAGCTCCAGTTGCCAAATCTACATGGATACAATATAAACTGCCACTGCACCTTTCACAACACAACCAACTACCACGCAACTCGAATCAACACGAAGGAGCTTGTCTTTCAACTGCGCGACACCGATCATTGTTCAAGAGAATCAACGAAGGCTCTCAAACTGGTTACCAATTCCGCTGCTTCCTGCTATTTATTGAGCGACACCAGCTACTAGGACAGCAGCAACACTCGCAACTCTCGACAGACGCCGAGTCACAGCACAAGACAAGGACGAGGCAATACGCAGCGCTTCCACGTCGCGTAGGATGAGTGGCATTGTCCTGGGTCCATTGGAATCAACATACAACGGAAGTGGGCGACTGTGTCTGGATTAAGTCTTTGGTCGACGACAACGGGCACAGCTAGAGAAGCTGTTGTTGCCTGGGCTTGATCTTTTGCGTTTAGCACCTGCGCACCCGTCAAGCAAGCCGCCCTTCGTAGACAGTCTTTTTGACCTACATCACAATCACATACTTGCACCTACTCACTTCGTTGTTTCGTCTTGCGATCACAACCAGCAACGATCTCTGTCCATACATCACACGCCCCTCACTACACCCCGGGTAGCGCAGTGCATATATCTGCCCATTGATCACCATGGCTTCTCCTGTAAAGATGCCGCCTACGACGAGCGAGCAGTTGCAGCAGCTCAACAATGCTCGGAAGATGGCTTTCGAAAGCCCTGCCTATTTCAAACAGATCATTACGGGTATTTTCCCCCTCACGTCCATGTCTGCTCCCGTCGAGCTGCGCAGATGGGCCGCCGAGTTTATCGCAGAAGCGCTCGCTTGTCCGGCTTTGAGGACGCAAGAAAAGGACGACTTGACTATAACCGTAATAGACGGGGGCGCGCTGCGGGCACTAGTGGAAGATCCTAAACAGGACCCTTTGGTACTCAAGGCTGGTATTATGGCGGCGGCGAGTGCGTATCCAGTTGTCGTGAGATGGATGTAAGTAATGCACCTACTAAGGTCGATGGCCTCCTCGCCTTTCGCGCTATGTGGTCTCGTATATTGTGTGTCTGGTGATGTCCATGATATCTCGTGTTATGGTTCCCACCCGTTTGCTATTCATGCACTCCATCAGACACACATGTCTTCCGGGGTTACCAAGGCTTTCTCCGGGCCAGATCAACACACCTCTCCATGTCACCTGGTTACTAACACATCTTACCATACAGTGTTTCCAACGCCTATCACCCCGAGACCTGGATGACTATGACAGCGATAAAGTCGAGGATATTTTCAGTATGGGACGGCGCTCCCACGCCGGTCAAGCTATGCTGTATCAAGTTCGTTCAACGAGTTATCCTTGCCCAGACGGCGTCAAACGGCACGGAACCGAAGGTTAATACAGTCTTCCTCCTCGCGTCCTTGGGTTATTGACTAACAGTTGATGGCAGCATTCTGGCTTGGATGTCAACCTGAACATGATTACTCCTAACCAAAATCTCCTGGACCCTCGGTCTCTCGAGCCTGAGGCCATTGGCCTCCTTGACAGAATGCTTGGTGGTCTTCAGGATAATAACAGGTGCGTAAAGGTTATCTTTTCCACATGTACAAACCGCTAACCATCCTTCTTATTGTCCCGTACAGTGATGTTCTCATTGTGGATGCCACTCTCAATACTTTGTCCATTCTTGTCCGCACTCGCCCTGCCACCTCCAGCCGTATCATCAATGCGGTTCTCAACTTCAACCCTCTGAAACTGGCCAACTCGCCGATGACCCCGAAGAACAAGGTCATTATTAAGTCGATGATGAAGACCACCTTGATGCTCTTGGGCAATATCCTTAGGAGGTAAGAAATATCTTGATACCTGCTCACGATCTATTGCTAACTTAAAACAGGGATCCAGACAACCCGTTGGCTTCGCGAATCTCTTCACAGCATCAGAGACTCATGCGTGCCCGAGATGAGATCTTTAACGAAGCGAACCGCAAGCGGGCTCTTCCCGAGCAGACTGCTGCAGGTTATGGTGATGCGAAGAGGCAAAAGACGGAGGCAGCCGCCGCACCCCAACCTCCGCTTCGCATCCAACCACTTGCTCCAGGGCCACACACTCTGGCTGAAGTGTTCAGTCTCACCAACAACCCAGGCTTGCACGGCTTTGATGTGACTGTAGTGCCTGCCCCGTTAACTGCTAGAATCAATGTCAGGACGCTGGCGTCCCTCGACCAAGGGCAGCTTGATCTGGCCATCAACGTAAGCTTTCAGCTGTCTTTTTTTTGTTTCGTTTTCTCAAAAAGGAGTACCGATGTTGACACTATCACAGGGAGTCCGTGATCGAATAACTGCTCTGTATGCTGCGGCACCTGCCGTGCCACCAGTCCCGGTACTGGTCCCAGGAACGGCGACAGCGCAACTAGCCCCGGCTAATTCCGACCCGGCTGCTTTGGGTCTCGTGGATGATGACGATGACTACGAGCCCGACCTCTATACTGCTGCCGAAGATACCGAGCAAATACTCAACAAGCTCGATAACGCGCCCCCGGAGGCACCACCCGAACAGCCCGCTGAGCCCTTGGCTCTCGGCCCGTTCAGGCTCCCGCCCCCGCCTGTTCTCAATCCCGACACTGCTGCCAAAGTCAGCCAGATCACCGCCATGCGCATATTTGGGCCTCTCGCAGGTCTTGAGGACCCTCTTGTCCGCAAACCTAAGGCCGGCCTTAACCGACTAGCTGCCAACTCGCATGATCGCGACTCATGGCTTACACTGATCACGCGCCTTGCAACCCGCAGCACCATGGGCCTGGAGGACGATATCAAGACCGAGACCGACGCTACCGCTCTTGGCCGCCCCCAGATGAGCCTGGGCAACTTGATTCGCGAAATGCTCTTCAACTACGTTCTCGAGGACTGGCGGCGCCGCATCGAGGTTGCCGTGGCATGGTGCTGCGAGGAGTGGTACAATGACCAACTAGCCAAGCGTGCGGAACTCGAAGCGCCGCTGAATTATGAGCGGTGCGCGTTGCGTCTGATGGATGGCTTCCTCAGTTATATCACTGCCCAAGACAAGGTTCTTATACGTTTCTTGGCGGAGATTCCCCAGCTCAGCAAGGAGCTTCTCGGTCGCCTCAAGGGTCTTTGCAGCGATCCATCTACAGTGAAGCTTGCTATGACCAGTCTTTTGTACTTGGTGATGATGAAACCGCCCGCGAAGGAGCTTGCTTTGGATACCGTGTACGAGATTTGGCTCGAGTGTAAGTTTTGCCTTTTCCCAACGATGTTTGAACCGTTTGTTTGCTGACCTGTTTGATATTTCAGATGAGGATGCTCGCGGTCTGGCAGAGAAATACCTTCGCACGTATCGGCCTGGATTCGCAGGTGCCCAGGCTGCCGCGGACGGTGCCTCTAGTGGTAATGGTTCGCAGGCAATGACTGCATGAACCTGATACCTGCGTCACGTAATATGGAATCAATACAGACGGGAGCTTTTTATTGCTTTCAGTAGAACAGCCTTGGCTCACCATGAATATTCAGACGGACATGAAGGCTTCGGCAGGAGAAAGCGGGCATGGTATCTCTGCTTATGCATTTGGGGTTACGAAATCCTCAAGCAATGGCTTATTGAGCTGAGGTGGTTTGCAAATACCAAGGGAGCGGGGAAGAAGTTTACAAATGGAAGGCTATTACATACCTTCATTAAGAAAAGAAATACGTTGTAGAAGTAGATAGATTCGTCAGGCATTGCCGCTGCTACAGTACTGCGGGCGTAGCTCATCGTTGGCACCAAAGAGCGTGATGATACGTTAGATGAAGTTGAAGTTGCGAAAAGGGGTTGATACCTATGTAACCCTAACCCATGGGCTTGTGAAGTAAACAAACCGGCCTGTTGAGCATCTTGAGATTTGGTCTGCATCATTGGAGGTAAAACATCAGACCAACCTAAAGCACCTACGTCACAATCTGTCGGCTGGCTTTCACTCGGGGCCGATCCAAGATCAACAACAGTCAGGACCGGAACCGATCTAGGATTCGGCGAGAACAATCGAGGTGTACCGAAGGTTTAACTCAGGAAGGTGTGATATGGCGGCAGTTCCCGTCACTAGAACTAATGGCCGAGTGCAGGTGAGTTAAAGCAGGTACGGCGGAAGTGCCAACCTTGGTGCTGGAGGATGCACCGATGTCGCAGAACTCGCACTGAAACTCTCCGCATTTTACCAGAAGCTCATGATGGATGGTTTGACTAGGTAAATTATAAAGCCTTGAGCTAACCGTTCAAACCACTGCTGCAAACATCGTGACATTTCAAGAAGTTGTTGGTTTGAGCAATGTTAGTGGAGGTGTTGATATCAGACCCGAGAGATGGGATGATGGACCGGGATGTCCCCGCCATTATTTGAAGCCCCTGCGTCCCAGCTGCCGTAGCAGTGGGCTAGGCGGTCCGCGGCGCTATCCCACAAAATCCACCTGTGCTGAGTTCATTATCCTAGAGAGAGACATTGGGGGAGGTACAGGAACACTTATTTAACCTGAATATCACAACTGCTTCCTTGCTGTCCAGTCTGTTGGCGATTTCGGTCACTACCTACCTACACTGGGTCCTGCTCACTGCACTCATCTTATCTCATCCTCTCTGCGGGCATTACAGCAATCCCGGGGCGACTGTATTGCAGGTCCAGGCATCCTGCAAACTCGGAAGCTGCAGTGGAACCAATTTTCTTTCGTTTGACGTTCATCCCCTTGCGCTCTTGGAGAAGGTACAGCCTGCAATCTCCAGTTTGGCAATTGGGATTGCCGCTGGATGTGTAATTCGTGACGCCCTGGGAGCTATCGACGTTCAATTAAAGGTAAACGAGCAGTCTTGGATCTGGGGCATAGATTGTTTTGAACCACCCATTCTGAGGCTGTAAATCAAGCAAAGACTCCGTCGTCCCAAGTCGGACACACGGTCCTGCATCAAGCAGAAGCAGCGCATCAAGTAGCAACTACACCCGTTGTGTCACTCCTGCATTTCAGGGACACCACAGGGCACCAGGGGCACAACTCCGGAAAGTGTGGAGACCCCTCGAAGGTCTCCATGTGCGCCGTCTGGTCCGCGTAGATCCACCGAGCGATTCCACCGATTCCACCGACCTCAGGCACTGGCGGCCACTGACTGGGCATCCCCCTGGCCAGCCCTGGCGTGCCTGACGAACCTGGCTGCCAACGGGTCCAAATGTCAACCGCTAGTCGTAACCTCTGCCCGTACCTGACTCCCGACCGGACAAGAAATGAGCAATCGTTCTGTCAAGTGTCTTCCACATTCCAACAACAACCTCGCCTTCTCCGTTCACATCAAGACGACGAGGCTGGTATGTATGTCTATCCCTCCTTTCCAGCCAATACCCGGACGGGATATCCGTGCCCGAATGAGCACATCCATACCATGTACCTAACCACAATGGACGGGAAGAATAAGACAGTGTTACCTTAGCCGCACCCGCGGTGGACGGGAGTGCATGTCCAAGTATCTGTTACGGTGCCTTACCTCCTCCCAGAGCCTGTCTGCAGTGCGCGAGGTTCTCCATTGCATTGTTTCTCTTACCATATTTTCGCCATCGCCGACTCTATAGGTTCCAAGCAATCTGGGTGCTAACATTGACATTGACCAACAAAGACTTCCCTGCCGAACTCGCCTGTCACGATAGAAGCCGTGCAATTTCCGTCCCCAACGGTCGATCCAATCTACACAAAGACTTTCGTTCGCACGACCGGTGATTGACCGGGCCGCCGGTTCGTCCTGTCCGACCCTCGCGCACGCTTCCGAAGATACAATCAACGTCGTCATGTCCCAAGCGTCTGTCAACGGAGTCAACGGCAAATCACTACTTTCCGCACCAAAGTCACCCAGATCACCCAAGCAATCTCTTTCGCGAATGAACTCTACGATACGCGCCGTCCCTAGCTTCGACGACAGGATATCAGAGGACTCGAGTACCGACACGGTTCCTACATCCAACACAGCTTCGCGAAACTCGACTCTTTCCAGCTCAGTGAACAGCTCTGTCAGCATGGGTTCCGCCTCCCAGGAACTGAAGCTACAAAACGGAGAGAACAAGACACCTGCACCGACTGTCAGGCTAAGGCCCAGTCCATCCTTCAACAATATATCGGAAAAGCCGATATCCAGCTTAGATGTACCAAGGAGGCTGGGCACAAAATCAAGCTTTGAGATCCCGAACCGAGAAAGCAGCCTAAACGCAACAGCAGCACCACAGAGTCCTATGTCAGACAACGGAGGTTCCAGCATGCAGGAGACAATAAGCGCCACAGAGGCCAACCTTGCCGGGGGGTGGGACTCGACAATCGGGAAAGCTGGGTTAGGCAAGACGGGGCGAGTCATCAACAAGCTGGTGTCTGACAACGAGACGCTGAAACGCGACATTCAAATCGAAAGGTTACGAGCCGAGGAGTCGAAAAATGCAGCGAAACTGTTGGAAGACAAACTCGAGCGCATGGTCGCTGACTATGAAAGCCGGCTACTGGAGGCCAACGTAACAAAGACACTCCTGGCGCGTAAGGAACGACAGGTGGCGAGCCTGCAGGAGACTGTTGACCTGGAGCGAAAGCGAGCCGTTGACGCAGGCGAGCGCGAGCGGACGTGGAAGGACGAAATGGAGCGTGTAAAGGCCGACGCCAAGAAGCAAGTTGACGACGCAACCAACCTGGCAGCTCTTATGGAGGGCCGATATAACGCCATCAGCAGCCACTGGAAGGAACAAGGGGAGGAAGTCAAGCGAACTGTGGCCAAGATGCGAACCGAGATCGCCAGTCTTCTAGAGGAGAGGAGGAAGGATGATGACCGGATAAATACCCTACGCGACTTATGTGACCAGCAGGATGGAAACATACGCGAGTTGAGGAAACAGAAAGAGGACATAGCTGCGCAGTTTGAACGGTATAAGGCTGCGCAGGAAGAGTCGTTAAAGGACATCAAAGCCAAGGCAAGACAAAGAGAGCTTGAGCAGGAAAAGACACTTCAAGAGACCAAGGAGGTGTTGGACAAACTGAAGTGGGCACTCAGTGTCAAGGAGAAAATTGAGTGGGCTCAGTAGTCCAGTTCACGGGCTAAATCAAAGGGCGGTCGACCTCTGCTCGTTTTCACTCGCAAAGCTTGAGCTTTTCCCTGCACCTTACGGTCACAGCACACCAAGGAATCCCCGGCTGTCTTATTCCGTGAGAGTGAGACGGGTGTTCCACTGTGGTACTCATGACTTCAACACGATCAAGATATCAGATGAGAACGGCGGTCATTGACCATTTCTTGTCTGGATACTGTACCCTAATCTTATTATCAACACTATGTGTCTTCTATTTTCTACAACCCTTTTTCAAAGATCATATTCATTGGGGTTACGGAGTTTTAAGGAGCTTGGGAACTCAGCATGATCTCCTTTGGGACCGATGGGATGGCGCATATACTGGTACTTCTTTATGGGCTGAACTGAAGTTTAAGGAAGGATTGTATCATATCAAAGGGGGGGTGAAACCCCGTCATATTTCTCAAATTTTTTATTTTCGCTTTTCTTGCTACCTACCTAATCAAGGTCTTTTCCCCCCAGCATGAATGCAAAAATGGTTTTCATCTGTCTTCTTCTTCTTCTTTTTTCATTATATGAAGTCACCTCCCTCTTCATCAATGCTTTATGCTACACCGGAAGGAGCGGGTTTGGTTCTGGACGCTTACCTTAGATACCTTTGCCCGAATGCGATACCCTTTCCGCATCTGCTTGTTGATGTCTACCGTTAACTTGAAACGGAAATCACCATTTGCATGCCTGTTTTTCTTTTCAATAGTCTTGTTTCTTTTAGTAAGAGGAGCACATCACTCTGTGATGGTTGAATGAGAGATCAGAGATTTGTGTTAAGTGCACCTGGTGCCCCCATGATGTCCGAGGCAGCTACTCTCAACAGATAGGTCGCTCTTGCCATAGCAACCAAGTCATGCCGAATTCCACTCAACAATCTTTCTTTTGCCTTCCATCCGATTTTCTCAAATTTCCCGTCCGTTTGTTACAATTTTTGTACCGCTTTCCCCGCCACAAGCAATATCAATCTGTCACCGCCCCTCACACCGCAGGAATTCCTCGGTCACATCTTTCAACTTCGGCTGATACACTTCAACAAACCAACCGCGAGCCCCAGCCGAGGCACACTCGGGTTGCTCTTTCTTTCCCTGCTGATTTCTAGCTCTCTATTTGAACTGTGTTTGGCTCTTCACCTCTGACTTTCTCCGGTTCTCAAACGTCAAGCGGCCATCTGTCCGCCCCAGACACCATGGCTGCATCTCATCCTCTTCCATCTAGGAATGACAGTCCCGGCAAGGCTGCGCGCGACGAGTTGAAGCAATACTACTTGTGTTCCGCGTGGAAGTTCACGGATCGCGCGGTTGACCATCTGATTGCCAAATTGCGAGGCCAGAACATTGTGAGTTACCGCATCGCAAACTGGGATGCACCTCGAACACCACCAAGCTGACCTGCCATTCGTAATATTTAGCAAGATACCGACTTCAGCTGGGAGCCCAAATATCGATGGATCAAGGCTATTTCGCCCGCCAGCAAGCAAGCCGAGATACGAAGGTTTTGGCAAGAGCTGGTGACAGAGATTGAACAAGACGCCTACGAACGTGCCGAGGATGATATCATTGACTACAACTTCACGCTCAAGGTAGGTTATTCACCAACTCCTCAGAAAGCACAAAGTACCGTGGGCTAATTCTTTCTACAGCGCGGATTCAAAGACGAGATGATCGAGTACCCAAGTGGTCTCTCCGACTCCGGCGACGATGATGCCGACACCTACAGCAGCAATGGCTCCGACGAACACGCAACGCGCAATACCTTTCCTCCACAGTTCAGCAACCGATTCCCTTGCCTTGGAACCTGGACCAAGCTTGAGGGAGTGCACCCGTCTGTCACAACTCAGAGCTTCCTGAATGAGGATGACCGACTCCAACTTCAGCAAGATACCGGTGTTAAGATTTCGTACGATCTCGGAAAGGTTGTCTACCTTGGTGCAGAAAGCCAAGATGCAATCAAGGAGGTCAAAGCGAAATTAGATATCCTCCTGGAGTCTTTTTCAACTTCTTGGGATATGGTAAGTTCTTGAATATTCAATCTTTCCACCGGTTCAATTGTTAACGTTTTGACAGACTATATCCGGATATGATGTCCAATTTGTTCCCTATGCTGAAGGCTACAAGGACCCGGTGCTCAAGGAGTTCAAGTCCGACGTCCGATATCTCGCCAACATCGACCCCAAGCTCCCATCTACAACTCTTCTGGACCCACTCTTATTCCCTGATCTATCCCAAGAGTATGCTCGCATGTACCACGTTGGAAGTTCAATTCGACTTTGTCCCTACAACTCCGTGTTACGCGCACACTCGTCCTTGTTCGGCCCTGAGATTTTGACCAGGAACCGGAAGAAGAAGGATCTCTTGGTGCCACGTCCCATTCTCACAACTAAGTCAGAAACGGTCTTGATTGACGTATCTACTGCCTCTGTCGGCGGGCTACCTGACCCCATTCTCAACGGAAAGGTTGTTGACCAAAAGCTGAACGTCAACAACTGGTTGAGTAACGTTCCCGAAGACTTATTTTCAGTACCGACACAAGGCTCCCTTGAATCGAGGCCTCTCACGCCTGGCTCAACAATTCCAGCGCCAACTATTCCTTGGGATGTGCCCGTTATCTCTTGGAATATGCCAGCCCTTGTCCCGACACATAGCGCGAAATCGTCAGAGAAAGTTGAATCATCCAAAGAGGACACAAAGACAACCGCTGTCAAGGATGAACCTTTGAGCCTCGATCAACAAAAGAAGCGAGAGAGGATTCAAGAAGTCCTTGACTCTGTGCCCAGGTTTCTCGGAAACGGCCCATACCTGAGGGGAGAAGTCATCGTCACAGCAGACTTTGGGCGTGTAATCATTCCCGAGCTCGCAGCAAATGCTATAGCTTTCAACGGCAAGAATACCAAGAGCAATGGATGGAAGAAGGTTGCTCTATCGCACACACTGCGTAAGATCAAGCGTGCAACCACCGGCAAGGAGTCTCTGGTTGCCGGAAATGTTTGCTTCACGAAGATTTTGAGCACACACGGCTCCGATCTGGAGACGTTGATCAATACGATGGACGAGAAAACATACCAGCGTCTGTGGCAAAAAGCCCCTTCGAAGTGCTGGACAGTGTACTCTTTTCACTGCCAACTGACTGGCAAAGCCCCTGATCAGTTTCTCGTGGAGATCACGGACTGTGCCAACGGCACCTTCTCTTACACGATTCGAGGACTGACCGAGCCTGGATGTTCCCAGAAGTTGATTTATGTCAACGCGCTGTTACGCAACTAGGATCTGCGTATCATGCGGACCGTTCATTCGCCTTTGCTGGAAACTCGATATGGGAAGTTTGCCAAAGCGTTACTGGAGTCGCTGAAGATCTCGTAAGTCAGGAGTTCATGACAAGCTTGACAACTCGCTAACTTAACCTCTTAGTGAACGCAAGCCAGATGACAAAGACAGCATCAACTTGGGCTTTTCTGTTGATTCTCAGTCCAAGACAGAGATCACATCTGTTCGGATACTTTCCAAGTGGCGGTATTTGAGCTTGGATAAACGAGGTGCTCTTGATATCACCGAGGTTGAAGAGCTGGAGATCAAATGGAATCCCAACCGTCCTGGAATGCCAACATCTACGGGAGAAGCACACACGTTGAAGGTCAAGACTCGCAAAGAGAGACTAGCCCAGGGGAAGGTACAACGCTGGTACGAAGCATCTGTCTCATCTCTTAACCTTGAAAAGCTCCTAGAACAGAACAAGACACTAAAGGCAGGAGAGAGTGCCCAATGGTCTCAGGCTGAACTCAGCAAAGATGATATCCTGGAAAGTCTCTGTTGTCCTGCCCTCCAGATGCTGAAGCATATGGATCAAGTTGGCGGACTGGAGGACAATAAGCAAGCAGAGAAGCCTGGAACGGCCGTGAAGAGGGCCAACGATCGCTCAAGGGCTGTGCCAGGCTCTGAGCCTGCCTGAAAACCTGAAGTTTCTGGCCAAAGAGAATGGACGGGGCAAGGCATCCGAGGTGGAGGATGGTAAGGAGATGCGCCAGAGGTCACGGTTGGGGCCACCACCAACGGAGGTGGAGCTTAGTCTATTCAAGACGTCAATGCCTCGAAGCATGGCCTCTCTGTCTACATGTTCTTCGCCAATGAGTAGCGCGAGAACGTCCGTGAAGAAACCTCATGCATATCTTTTGGTCAGGTTAGCATGATTCTTGGAGGAAGGTGGAAGGCTCTCACCGACAAGCAGCATGCTTCCTATGAGGCCAAGACCGCCGCCGAACGGAAGCATTATTCGATTGTTGTCACTCATGAGTAGCTTTGAGGAACGGAAAGATCATAGAAAGTAATTGAATGGGAGAAGGTGGTAGAATTAGATGATGGATTTGGATTTGTGCTGGCCTCCAAACTTTACGGGCCATATCTGAGTTTCAAGTAAAGATATAAGCGTACCATCTTACCATAATCGATGATAAGCCTGATTCTACGAAGAGTTAAATTTTCCTACACGGAGACTCGAAGGGAGAAAATGCTCTATTGTGTGAGCTTGTCTGATTGAGGGATGTGTTGTCGACCCGAAGCGCCCTCGAATACTATACAAGGCCGATAATGTTGGCCTAAAAGCCAGTCCCCAAGCAAACGCCATGCTTTACTCCATGCCAAAAGAAATATCCCCAAGAAAGGGGGGGAAGCGAGGGAGGTGGGTTTAGCCAGCCGATATAGAAGACAATACATCATACAAGTTCGAGTCCCAACATTAAGATCCTACTCTATAAACTGAAAAGTCAAAAGCCAAAATGGCAGATAAGGGTATATGGGACGCGAAGAAACAGAGGCAACCACATGTTACTAGTAAACAGTAAACAGCAACAACATCATCTGTCGAGGGCTTGATTATGACACTGTTTGATGTGATACACCGGTTAGAATGATTCTTCCATGTCATGGAGCAAAGAAGTTCGAGAACTTGGTGACTTACCATATGCCAATAAACACCCTTCATCCTGAGCAGCTCGTTATGGTTGCCCTTCTCCAACACTTTGCCCTCGCCGAGAACATAGATGATATCCGCCTTTTGGATGGTAGCAAGACGGTGGGCCACGGCGATGGTTGTTCGGCCCTTGGCTACGCGCTCGAAGGCGGCTTGTACGAGTTTTTCGCTTTCTGTTTTGGTTTTGGAATTGTTAGTAACCCATAAGGTAGGGAGGTAAAGGGGACGGGCGTGGGCATGGGTAGGTAAGAAATAGGTGAAGAAAAACATACCAGAATCAAGTGAAGAGGTAGCCTCATCCAACAACAATACCCTCGGATTCCTGATCAGCGCCCTCGCAATTGACACCCGTTGCTTCTGCCCGCCGCTCAGATTGACTCCCCGACTGCCAATATTCGTATCGTACCCCTCCTGCAAACTGATGATGAAATCATGGATGTTGGCGTCCCGGCAACATTCATGCAGCTGCCCCTCCGTTATTGTCGACGGATCGACGCCCATGAGGATATTCTCCCGAATCGTCCCGTGGAACAGCGACGGTTCCTGCGCGACGAGCGATAAGAGCCTTCGGTACTCGAAGACGTTGACTTGGCTGATATCCTTCCCGTTGAAAAGGATCTGGCCGCGGTCGACGTCGTAGAAGCGTTCCAGCAAGCTGACGATGGAGGTTTTCCCGGACCCGGAAGCGCCGACAAGCGCGGCAAACTGCCCCTTTTCGATGGTCAGGTTGAGGCCTTTGAACACGGAGATGTTGTGCGTCGGGTACTTGAAGTGGACATCCTTTAGCTCGATCTTCACCCCGCCCTCGGTTTCGGGGACGAAGTGATCGGGGGTGTTGGTGTTGGTGGTAGACACCACCCGCTCGTCGCGGATCCGGCTCTCGCGCGCTTCAAGGATGTTGTTCGCCGCTGCGCTGGCTTGCGCCATGTTTGGCCCGAAGGACATGTACTGCCCTGCGCTTTCCGCGCCCTGGATCACAGCCATGTAAGTCACCAGGAAGGCGACCTGGGTGTATTCTCCCGAGGCGATCAGCCGGCCACCGTACCAGAAGATCAGGGACTGGCAGGCTAGCGCGACGCTATCGGAGAAGGCGAAGACGAAGGTGGTCAGCCGGGCCTTGCGGTACGCCGTCACGACGTGGTGTTGGAGCAAAGCTTCGTAGCGCGAGCAGATGCTTTCCTCCATGACCAGGGCGGTGACGGTTCTGAAAGCGCCGATGGACTCGGCGCCGAACTTGGACGATTCGCGGAACACGGCCTCGTTCATGGCGTTAAACTGCAGCTCGTAGCGCACGCGGTAGAAGCCCGCGAGTATGTTGAGCGGGACGGTGACGCACAAAGCGACGAGCGCGAGCTTCCAGCCGTAGATAAAGGAGATGATCAAAGCCCCCATGAGGGAGAAGACGCCGATGATGACCATCATTAGGTTCAGGCCCAGAAGCTCATTGAGGGACTTGATGTCGCTTTGAAGGCGGCCGGTCAGTTGGCCCACGGAGTTGCCGTCGGCGTCGAAGAAGGAGGTCTTTTGGCCCATGATGGACTCGAAGTATTCCTGGCGGTAGGTGGCCGAGATGGAGCCCTCAATGTGTTTTGTTATCAAAGAGGTCAGGAAGTAGCAGGTGCCGATGACGGCGGCGAGGGTGGCCCACATCTTGGACCAGAAGGTTACGCTGTCCATGATGGTGAAGACATTCTGGAAGACGGCGATGATCTTGGCAAAGAGGTAGGCTTGGAGGGGAACGGCGGCTGCGGCGCCCATGACGGCGATGAGCGCGAGTACGTATAGAGGGAAGAGGCGTCGTTGCTCGTAGAGGAGTCGGCCGAAGCTGTTGATTAAGCCACGCTGTGCCCAGAGTTTGACTTCCTGTCTGTTGGAGCCGTTGCCGTCAACTTTGCCAGCACTCTTCTCGCGCGCGAGCGTGGTGCTGATGTCTTCTTCGTCCAGAACCTCCTCTTTATTCTCGCCCTGACCGTCGCCCAGAGAGAGGGTTTGAGCGTGTACGAGGCCGTAGTACGCACCATTGGGGTCTTGGAGCAAGCCATCATGTGTTCCCTGTTCGACAACCCGCCCGTTTTGAAGGACGCAGATAACATCGGCGTTCTTGATGGTGGACAGCCGGTGAGCAATCGTGATCGTGGTTCTTCCTACGGACGCTCTTTCCAGCGCAGCCTGGACGATCCTTTCGCCTCGAACGTCAATGGCTGAAGTGGCTTCGTCGAGAATTAGGATCTTGGGCTTCTTGATGATGCTGCGAGCAATGGCAATGCGTTGTCTCTGTCCGCCACTGAGCTTGGTGCCTGAGTCTCCCACTGGGGTGTCGTAGCCGTCAGGTAGTCTGTCGATGAACTCGTCGGCGAAACTTTCGGCACAAGCCTCTTGGACGAGTTTGCGCTGGACTTCTTCCGGTTCGTTCTCCCACCGGGTACCGATCAAGCCGGAAGCGACGTTCTTGAAGATTGTGTCGTTGAAGAGAAACGGCTCTTGCTGGACCAGACCGATTTGGGATCTCCACCACTTCATGTCTATCTCATCCAGCGAGTGGCCGCAGGTCGTGATGGTGCCTGATAGTTCCACGGGAGGGCCTTGGTCTTCGATATTGTCGATTGTAGTAGCAGCACCAGCGGCGGAAGCAACCGAGTCCTCATCGCCACTCTCATGTTCCTCATCCTTGGCCTTTTTGGCATCCTTCTTTTTCTTTTTCTTGCCCTTTACAATAGCCTTGGGGATCGAAAACTGGTCGTCAAGGGAGTACCATTGCTCTACAAGGCCAACAACTGTACTAAAAAAAAGAAATTAGTATACGTAGCAAATAACAAAACTGATAGAACAAACGTACCTCTTGCCCGAACCACTTGGTCCCACGATAGCGGTGTTCTTGTGTGCCTGAATGCGGAGGTTGAGTCCATCCAAGACCTTCTTGGACGGCCGGCTAGGATACGCAAAGTGGACGTCCTCAAACACGATATCATCAGTTGCAGATACTTCCGGCTCCCTGAGGCTCCCGACCTTGGGTTGCGGTGCATCGATGACAGAAAAGAATTCGGCCGCAGCCACCATTGCCTTGGAGATCGCGATCAGAGGCGTTGAAACCCGCTCCAGAGAGATGACCATCATCATCACGGAAAACAAGACGATGACGACGGTTCCGACATCATCTACCCTACCAGCAAGCAAGCTCTTCATACCCCACCAGAAACTGAGGGCAAAGGTTCCGTAGAGACCAAAGAAGACCAGGCCGAATTGGGTAGCGAACAAAGGGGCCGTAGCCTGCTCGGCCTGCTTGGCTTTCTTGACCCATTCAGAATACTTTTCAGCAACTCGAGTCTCAGCACCGCAAGACGTAACCATACGGATAGACGCAAAAGCCTCTGTTGCAATCGAGCCAGCCTTTCCCTCTGCCTTTGTGATTTTATGCTGCCCCTTGATGATAAATGGCAGCATGATCGAAATAACCAGCACAATGAAGAGCAGCACGGAAGACGTCACCAACGCCAGGGACCAGCTGTACGTAAACGCCACAACGACAGCAGCCGTGATCATAGCCGTGTACTCAAGAAACGTCCCCAGCTTCTCCGAGACGCCGATCTGCAGCGTGTTAGCCGTGGAAGTTATGGTAGATGCCGCGGCTCCGGATGGCATCGAGTCGAGCACGTGTACCGTCTGGGCAAAAAGCGAGCGTAGGTAGTCCAGCCGGATGGCGGCCGACATGCGGATGCCGATCAGTCGGAAGCAGAACTTGTTGATGTAGTTGAGCCCGAAGCGGGCGATGAAGAGGGCAAACATGTACAGGGCCTGCCGGTTGAGTAAGCGGTTGAAGGCCGCCTGGGTCTCGGCGTCGCTGTCATCCGGTCCCGCGTAGCTGTTGAAACTCCCAATCAGCCGGCCGAAGACGACGTTCATCAAGGGCATGGTGATGCCGGCCCCGATGCTGGCCACGGCGGCGCCGGCCATCAGGAGATAGTCCCATTTGGTGGCGTAGGTGAAAACACGCAGGTAGTCCTTGAGTGTGGCTTCTCTCTCGGGTTGTTGTGGTTGCTGCTGCTTGTTCTGAGTCGCAGCTACCACCTTTGGGTTTGGTGTGGTGTTTGATGAGGAGGCCGTTTCGACGGCATCGTGCGTCAACTGCGTCGTTTTCTCCCCGGGCTCTGATGGGAGGCTTGGCGCCATTGTGGTGGTGGTGTCTTGTCCCTGTTCAGCAGGACAAGGACCGTACCGTATAACCTCTGGTTTGCTTGGGGATCGCAAACGTCGGGTATGACAAGCCAGTTGAGTCCAGCCAATCTAATCCATCAATACCTCCGAGTACTTGGGGGAAGAGGAAAATAGAACGGAAAAGACCGAGCGTACGATTCGAGCTATGGCGATATCTCCGTCTTGTTCGATGATGTAGGAGAACGATATGCAGAACAGCGCGCAGTAAGCAGAACCAAGGACAAACAACAAACAAAAGCCACCACAGCTCTAGGCTGGGCTACTTGCAGACGAACTATCGAATACCAGTTGAAGACAGAGGGTATCACATAGGGGTTTGTCGAGGAAGTGATTCGTCTTGTGGAGGACGTTTGATGACAGTAGCTGAGATGCTGGTTGAAAACGGGCAAGATGTTCTTATGGCGTCTGTCAGACGAGATGCATGGAAGGCTGAGGAAGGTTTCGCGGTTGGACTCCTTTACCAACGGTCTCGGTCTCGATCTCTGGATGGCCAAGCTTTCACAATGTAACTGTGAAAGTTGGCGAATAGAAGGATCGAGGATTCGGTAGATGGAAGTTGGTATAGGGTCAGATTCCGTGAGCCGAAAACAGCAATAGAGCCGGAGTCGTATTTGGGACTTCAATGCTCAACTCAGCATTTGAAGCATCATCAATAATGCTGGAAAGAAATGCCCAAATATCAGGCATTCTTCCGTTGCGCCTTGCATGATGCTTCATTCATTTTGTTCTTGAAGAGCTGGTGCCTTGAAAGGCATCATCGACGGTTTTGATTCGCTTACAAAAGAAACCGGAAAGAAGTCCAATTGGTTCTGCTATTGTCTGACCACCAGCTCCGTGGGTAGAGTCAAACGCCACTAACGGGCACTAACTGGATGGCGCCGAAATCTGGTAAGATTCTGATAACAGCCTGATAGCATGCCGTGTGCCATTCGACGATACTCCAACCATTGTTCTTTAGTCCAGACCATTCTTTTTAAGATTGCGGAGAGATGGAAAACCCGGGGTCGCTTCGGACTCCCCGTTCAATCCGGGCCGACAATGAGAGGTATTGCGTTCCAAGCTCGTATGGAGTTCAGTGAGAGTGTTGGATTCGACGACGCCATGGACAAACTGGTCGATCGTCATTGTCTTGCGAAGGGCAGGACGTTGCTTCAATACCTTCCAGTTATATCAGCGCCATTGGAACTTCCAAACCTCCAGAGTCGACTGGCACCAAGGGTCTCCTTGCGCATATGTAGCCATTCAAGTGTTTGCTTTTCTGGCAGGTTCCGAACGTATCGCATGCTTGATGAGGACGTCGGTGTAGGCCGATTTGCTTTAGCCACGATTCAACCTTTCTTGGTCACATACAGATAAAAACTAGGGGAATGAATTCCACTGTGTCTCTTCAATCGATGTCCATAGTCTTGCCCCCAGGTATATTGCACCATTGCCATCTAAGTCATGTTGACTGTTGACATAAGAGGCTCAGTTGTGCGACTTGTTGATGGAAATGCCGACCGCATTTTCTCGGTTCGGTTGTGTGACTGAGAACCGGGGCATGGTCACGAGGCCGGTGCGACCTAGAGGCAGAAACCATCAGTCAACCTTAGCCCATCTAGTTCCAAGTTGATAAAGAATCCAGAATGGAAAAGTATAAGGGGTAGTGGGTGAATGAGATAGGGGGCTTCGATTGTTCAACGTCAAAAGCGTTTTACGTTCAGCCCGAATCTATCGCTTCCAGCTCGGCTTGGCGTTTGTGCGCTAGAACTAGAAGCAAGCTTCTTCAACGTTCCCTGACCGGCAGCCACTCTTGCTTGCCCTAAAAACGTTGATGTCTCAAGCCCAGTGTGTGCGGGAACGTCAAAATCGAGCGGACTGTTTCACCATAGACGCACACTCCGCCGGCTTTGCCATGACTGGAAGTGTCCGGGTCCCTTTAGAGCTTCGGTGCCTATTGAGATATCTGGAATGGTGTTACGCTGCGCTTGGCAATCATAGCGAGATACTCAGCAGACTCGTCGAAGGTCTGGCATGAAACAACCATCGACGTGCTCATGAGGGGGAATGCTAATAGTTGGTTGAGCGTGTGCGTATGGTTACATGTTGCCGGCTGAAGTTGAGTCAAGATATATAGGATGGGTGACTTATATAGCACAGCTCGGCTACAACGAGGTAACCTCACACTCCGTTTCTGAATCAAGTCTCATCCTTCTGTACATGCTGAAGGCCTATAGAAGTATAGCTGGGGTAGGTGGCTGGCTGTTGTTCATATATCGCGTCTGAAGGAGTGAATCTTTCAATATCGATGAAGTCTCTTTGTGACTGTTTTGTGCACCCACCACAACCAGACGTTCAGACCTGCGTGGTGCCTAGTTTTGAACAGTCCGAGTTTCTATCCCGTCTTCCAGCGGTTCTGCTTTCCAAGCTCACCGGTCCGGTGCCAGGGTAACATGGAAGCGGAGAGGGGCTGGGACCGTGGTCGACCGTGGTTGTCTTCCGGAGTTCCAGATAACGACGACCCAACCGGAGTACTACATCGCAGTATGCGGGCCGAGTGGAACTCGCACACCGCACAATGGATCCATGATCGCTCTGGTTCCAACCCAATTGGTGAGTCCTGACCTTGTTGGGGCTATGGATTCGCTCGGCACTAGAGGGAGGTTTAGGTGAGCAATCAAGGTTGAAAGCTGAAGAGGGCCTGGAGGGCAAAAGAAATGTCAAGAAATATCACATCCGTGGCGTTGGGGTGTTGGAGATGTATGTATCAGCGAAACCACCGATACACGACGTCCAGAGGCCATGGCAGGCTGTTCACTGGCGCCTCTCGGGTGACGAGGCTGTCGAAGAATGTATAGTGTAACCGTGATGGCCTCCCGAGACTCGACACAGCCCTCAGCCGTAGAACACGGGCATCTGGACCAGGACAAGAAATAGGTACAGATGTCTCGTCTCCGGGAAAGCTGGAATTCTGTCAGTTCCGGCGGGTTGCGGTGTACTGTTGTTAGCAGTGTAGTTGGAGGCGACCGAAAAGGTTTGCTCAGGACAAGCTAGCAAGGTACGGGAACCTGACTTTGGTTCCCGGCTTTTGGCCATCACGACCCGTCTTGTCAACCTTCTGACTTTTGACCTGTCCCACGATGCTCGATACTTCTGTGTGAGAATGTACGTACTGTACTCGAGCCAGGGGGCAGCGTCGATAGTGGCCGAAAGAGGGATAACGGCACGCAAGAGGACGAATCGTTTGCGTCGGGTCCCTGAACCCGGCTGCCGGCTGCAAACTCAGCTTCCCAAGCGGTGCTAGCCAGAAAAGCAAGGAAGCCATCGCGAATCTCGACGCTATTCCGCGTTGGTGACTAACCGGGGGCCTGAAGCTGCACAACAGGTGCAAGATGTGCGGGATGCTCAGGGGTAAAAAGTGCTCCAACCCTCGTTCCAACCTCCACCGCGATAGCCGTCTCCGCTGTCATGCGTGCCTCTCAGAGTGCCGCTCAGTGGCCTCGAATCATGAAAGCCTCGGACCTGCAGCGTGCATGTGCCCTGCTGCTGTGCCTGTGCCTGTGCTTTTTGTGCTTTGCGTATGCAGTCGGGAGGTGGGCGACGAGGTGGGAGAGTGCCTGAGGATGGTGGGTGGGAGATGTGCGGTGATCGGTTAACAGGCACGGACCCGGCCTGTTCCTCTCTGACTCTCAGTCCTTGCGTCCCCTTCCATCCTCGTGTTTTTCCCAGCTTCCACTTCCAGTACCAAATCATCCAATCTCGTGCGGCCTTGTCGAGACTGTGTGGTGTCTCTGGTTCCACCGTTTGGAGAGTCCAGATGCGTGTCTCTCATCGGATTCCGGGGTCCCCAAATCAGCCAAATGACCGCCCGAACCGCTGGGAGTCCTGCGAGCTCCAGGCGAAGTTCCAGGTGCTTCGCATGATTTTTTTCGCTGCTATTTTGGACCGTTCCGTGATTGTTCGGTGCAGTACGCCAGTACGAGGACTCCATCGGCGCCCCATCGCCAGGAACCTCGACGGGCACCCAAAGGTTCCACATGTTCGAGCGAGGGAATCCACATTTAGGTTGTCTCCCCATGTGGATGCCCCCTTCCAGTGGGTACTGCCGGGTGTCAAGAAAGTGGCAGCAAAGTGGCAGGAACACAAACACGCCCAAATCCACGCCCATTGTTTGGCGACCTGCAGCAGCTGCAGCCCGGCAAGCCAGCAAAAGTGGGCGACAGTGGGAAAAAAGCAGCCGGAAATGCCAGAGGGACGGTACGCCCTAGTCTCGCCTAGTGTGTCGCGTAAGAATGCCGCCAGCGCGATAAAGGGATAGCGTCTCATTGTGTCCCCACCCGCTTTCCAAAACGGGACCCCTGGCAAATCACTGGAAAATCTCTCGTCACCGGCCCGGGTACGTCCCACCACCAGTGCAACCGGCGTGAGCCCCGGCCCAGGTACCTTCTCATGCTTCCCATGCTTCCATAACCTTTCCCAATTCCAGTATACCGTCCCTGGGGTCCCATCCATTCCGTCTTTCATCCCACCTTCGTCACCTTCCTCCTCGCTCTTCAGTCCCCAAGAATCAGACATCTCGTCCTGGCATCAACCTCTTGTCTCCTCTTTTTGACAGATCGTGTGCCGTCCATTCGTTTTCTTCCCACACAGCAACCTCACTAACAGCCGATTGCCCAATCAACGGACACCCACTGTCAATATCAGAGCTGTCACCAACTTACAAACAACAAGACTACATTCATTGGCCATTGACGGAAACAAAATAACATCGCCTCGTGCTTTTCTCGACTTACGTACTAGCTGCTCGGCATTCTTGGTGAACGATACGTCGATTTCGAACTCTCCGTCGGTCTCGACAGCATATCAACGTGCAGTGATAAGGCCCAAACACCCCAACAACAACAAGCACCGACCATCTCTCCAACCATCTTGACAACCCGTCCCCAGTTACCGAACGGGATTCAACAGGCCTCTCCCGGGTTACCACAGGAATTCCCCGTGCTATTCCACAGATAAGACAACGGATCTTCCATTGTCTCCCCGTACTATCTCAAGCATATTCCTTGCCCCCGCAGTCGACCTTTTGTCTTTTATCAACACTTGTTCCGCCGCCATTGGATATCGGATTCCTAGCTCTCCGCACCTGGTGTGAAACCTTGACGGTTCCCTTATCTGCAAAATTTTGCGCGTTGGAGGACGACTATCGACGACACTCGACTGTCATCTGGAAGGAACAGCGTTTTAGGTGATCGAACAGCCGGTTGGTAACGCAAAAATGGCTGGATTAATTCCTCTTATGCTTGGGTCGAGCAAGCGGACGAGTCTTGCGCCCACACAACAGCAACAACCACAACCCAACAACAGCAACATCGCAGACATACTTCAGAACGAACATTCAGGACAAACAGAGATTCCACATTTGCTCTTGCAAGGCAAAGCGTACCCAAGCGACAGTCACTCCCTGTGCCTGCCCGTGCCTCCACGTCATCTTCATCCGGCCCTGCGTCACCAGCTCTTCCAGCCACTCCTGCGCTACCACAAAACCGCAGCGAATGGAAGCGAGCAATCGTCGAGATCAAGAAGCTACATATCGGCAAGAGGTATAGGGCATGCTCAGCGCGGTGTATCGAAATCCTAGACAACATCAAGGACAAGGAGGATGTGCGCGTCGAACCGCTTTACTTGATCTACCTCCACTTCTACGCTGCCACCTGTATGGAAATCTGCGCCCGACCTCTACCCACGGCCTCCATGTTCCGGACTACCTTGCTTCAGCAAGCTCGCACCCACTTCGAACAGGCTGCCTCACTCATCAGTGCTGCTGAGAACTCTGTTCTCAAGCAAGCATGGCGCAGTTCCGGCACCTTCTCTTCTTCTGGATCTAGCTGCCACTCTCCCACTAGTTCTATCAGCTCATCCATCGATTCACGGGCATGGAGCCCAGAAACCCGCATGTCATCACCAACCGACTCGGTTTTCCACACATCAGAGTCGGCCAACCCCACAAAGCGTGTCAAAAAGGTATCATTCTCCGTTCCCCATGAGGAATTCGACTTCGGCTTCTCTGAGCCAATGGTCCGCCCTGATTCACCGACTTTGGGTATGAACTTCGGCTTTTTCCCGGCTACGAATACACAAAAAGTTCCGGAAGTATCAGCGTCGAAGTACCAGGAGTTCGAGCTTCCGCTCCCGTTCAATACGGACAGCCAACAATTCGAGAACTGCGAGGAGGATGACGACACTCTCAACATCACAAAATCGATCGACCGTTTCCGCGATCAGCTGCACGAACTTCGTGAACAGCTCGAGAGGCACTCGGCCAATCTCGACCAGCAGCTCGAAGCCATGGCAACCGAGCCTCCAAAGTCGCCTACCCGAGGAAGTGGCGTAGGGAAGGAGGAGCTCCGCGCGCTTGACAGGCAGGCTCGCATTGAGCGGCTGCGCAAGGATGGCTGGCAGCGCAAGCGATTCGATACCCAACGGTACGAGGAGCTTTGCGAAACCGTCTTGGCGGAGCTAACCCCCGCCTAACTCTCCAAAATGAAATATAATGATCGCCAACCGGCATTTCATCCAAATTCCATTTTATCGTCACAGACATCATTAGAAAGGGTCCAGGGCAAAAAAGTTCGTGCATGACAGTTAAATGAACGGTGTTTTTCTCTACCCATCCAACATCTCATCACCGCGGGGACCATTACGGGGACCACAAAAACCCCCCACTGGCGATCATGCCAATCACTTGTACACTATACAAGTCAATCTTGTTCTACATCTGTACCAAATCTGTGCAATTTGGTTGCACGAGAAAAGTTAGACCGGGGTTACCATTTCTTCATCATCATCTTTGTCATCAAATCTGGGGGATCGGCGGAGTCAAATTTGTTTTTATTTTACACACACATGGCGAAGGAGTTCAGTCACATTGGTTTTGGTTTTGGGATTTCATCTTCTCTGTATATATCGCTGTTTATCCATCTTTTTTTTCTAATCATTGGGCGGGCAATTTGACTTGGCTTTGGTTGGGAAAGGATAAACGGACGGGGAGATGGGATGTGGGAGACTCGGAGGAGATGCACTTGTTGCAATTTTGGCTTTGACAGATATACAACATCCCTTTTGCGCTCTCTTGCACATTGGGATCAAATAACAAGGACACTTCACTCTTTGGAGTGGTCATTTTGCTCAATGTCCTCTTTGCTGTTTTGTTTTCGTTAATATTAAACGAGGCTTTCATGTCTATCACACACAAAGCATATATCCATTCAGTGGCTTCGACCATGTTTAGGCACAAGTATAAAAGACGACGTCCGAAATGTTTGGGCTGCATCGTGACCGTGACCGTGAACCGCAACTCAAAACCCAAGATGCATGGAATAATTCACGGCAATAATCATAATTACACAGAACCACGCGCTTTCATTGGTAATCATTTGTCTTCGCTGCTTCTCGAGTGAAGCAAGTGAGGCAAAGTGTGAATGCAAGACGCGGCGTGTCTAAAACCAGCCTAACCTCAGACCTCCCGTAACGGTAGGTAAGGGAAGGAACAAAAGAAAAGTGAAGACGGGAGGCAAGACCTATCCACGCTATCTTAGCTACATGCCACCCACCTCCGCGCCAGTCCACTACCGTCGTCCCTTACTTATGGAAGTTCAGTTTCACATCCATCAGTCGCGCTTCTCACGCGAATGAATGGAGTCCAGTTAGGAAAAAATGAAAAATGGATTCTGACAATCTGACACGTAGATATCCAACTCAACAATGTAAACAATGTGAACAAGAACATATCAAATTCCGTAAGTCTCGCTGGGAAACCCGCATGATATGATATGTCAGTGCCAATAACACTGCTAGCTAGATAGCTAGATAGAGGTAGCTATGTAATAGGAATATTAAATATCCAAGCTCAAGGTATTTAACCTCTACATACACTACACACACATACACACACAACAACGCTATCTATGGCAGTAGGCCTCGGTTTGCCC